GTTTCAGCTCTATGATTAAGGCTTAAGGAAGGGATACGGAACAATGAGAAATGTAATTTCTGACTTTGGAAGACTTAACAGGGATGCTGGGAATTTTCATGTTCTCTGAATTTTCTGTCTTTTTTTAAAATTGATTTTTAGAGAGGAAGGGAGTGGGAGAGAGAGAGAAACATCGATGTGAGTGGAACGTTGAACGGCTGCCTCCTGCACGCCCCCTCCTGGGGATCGAGCTGGCAACCCGGGCATGTGCCCGGATCGGAATCTAACCAGCAACCCTTCGGTGCACACGACCCTGTCCAATCGACTGAGCCACTCCAGCCAGGGCTGCATTTTCTTTTCCTTATAAGTACAGCAATATGAAAAATGTGACCAAAAAAGCAACACAAGGGGAGGATAACTCAACATATGTCAAATACCAGTTTTACTTGAATACATTTCAAGAAAGTAGTTAAATATTCACATTCTCACATATGAATTTTCATTGTAAAACCTAAGCAAATACAAGCAGATGTCATTAAAATCCAAAAATATAACAAATTCTCCGTGAATCTAAAAATTTCTCTACGTTTAAACATATTTGGGAATACTTATGTTTTGATATTTCAATATAGTATACATGTCAACATTTCCTTGCTGGCATTTTCAAGGTTTAATGTTTACTTGGAAACAGGGGCGCCTCTGAATTCTTTTGAGCATACATCGTTTATCTTGACGTTATCCTGAAAATTAGCAAGTCATTAATGCTTTTGAAGAGAAGCGTAGGCCCCACTTCTCCAGTGCAAATGTGCTCTGAGGTCTGCCTTTCAAGGGAAAGAATCTAAGATTCATGCTTTTGCTTTGAGTTCAACTTTATTATGAAGGTTTTGAGATCATAAACAGGCACAAAGGCTGGGACAGTTTAGTGGTGTCTACTGTCGTCTTTTACAGGACTAGTGCCAACTAGATGCACTATTTACCTAGGAGCCATTGATTCAATATTTATAACTAGTATGTAAATAAAAGATGAAATATGCGGTTTCTATGACAATTTTTTAAATCTTTGGTTTATTTGGAAGACTTTCTTCTCTTTTATGCCAAGAATAGCTAATGTTCATGAACTTCATGAACCTTATTACAGGACATTCCCAAAGTCGAAGATCAGACTAAAGCTGTTACTGTAAGTGTAACATCAAATTATGAAGTTTTAAATCTTAGTTCAGTGGTTCCCTTTAGATCAAACTCAGATGTTCTAAAGCAAATATAGTTTATATAAGCAATCTTTTTGAAAATTACTTAAAAATTCAAGTAAGGTATGGTTTAGAAATTTTCAAACTTAAGTGATTCTAAGAAAGTAAGATTTGTTTTTCTAATTCCCATTGATGGCAGGGTCATGAAACAGGAGGCCAGCTTCTCTTCAGGTATTTTCCGATTCAATTCCTTTCATGTAGAAAAGATGAAAGTTGTAGGCATTGTCAGAGAACAAGGGGAAATTTAAAGAGGAATCATGGCTGAAACAGCTTTTTGCATAACTGCATCATACTTACTACTCCTAGCCTGCAAATGGTCCAAACTGTCTGAAAAATGAACAGGTTAAGTATCTGTGCACAGCCAGTTTGCCCAGTGTGGGTTAGTTGATATCTCTGAATATTTATGACTATTCCCTCATTACCTATCTCTTCCTGTTCCCTGTACTGTCTAGTATAAGTTAAGGGTTTTTTCCAATTAAAGCAGATAGCAAGAATAAAATAAACAAAGAATTAAATAGCTAAATGAAGTCTCTGTGTGTGAGAAATTAATATATGCTCTTTGTCAAAATCACTCTGCATACACTTCTTATATATTCTTAGCTATTTAATACCAATTAGTTAAAGGTTTTGTAAACAACTGATTTGGAAAAATACTCAAAAAAACAAAATGATACAAAGAACTGAAAAATAATAATTTTAAATTAGTTCCAGAATTACATTAATTTTTTTCAACTATTAGTAGATTTAGCCATAAAGTTCTTTCATTTGATTTTTTTCTTTCAAAATGTAGCCAAGACACAAACATCTTTCTTTGCTTTCTTTGCAGGAAAGACCAGCATCTGGATTATTTCCAGGCCATCCAGACAGCTATTTCAACTGGAACAAGTGACCCTTGGAACAGACGAGAACATAGCAGCCTGGCCAGACAGAGGGGAGGGAGTAGTCAACTGGGAAGGGCCCCAACATATTCTTGTAAAATGTCATTTGAAGTCAGAGGACAATAAAAAGTTAAGGACAAATAAAGAAACTTAAAAGCGTTTAAACCCAATGCCAACTGTGAGGCTATAACATGAGGTTCAAGGAAAGACACGGTTTGAGTCTTTAGCTCTCACTGTTTAACATACACACTCAACAGACGAGTTCCCACTCTGTTGAGTACAGGAAATGTCCCCAAATTATACAGCACTCATCTTTGAATCTTCACAGCCTCGTTAAAACTCAGTAACCATTCGTTTCTTTCTTCCCTCAGTTGAGACAGATTTCCCTAGTCTGTGATTCTAAGGTGGTTGATAGATGTTCTTAGAGTATGTTACCATCTTTATTTATCAAATTATTACTGTGGTAAGATTAAAGTTAAAATAATGGTAAATATTTTGTCAGAGAAGACAAAGTGGTTGTCTCCTAACATTTATTGGAAGGCATGTGGTTCTTTTGTTTCACAGAGAGCATAAGGAGTTCTAGTTCACGTCATTAGCAAGAAGCATGCTAGGGAGTCACTCAACCTCTTACTGAACGCTTATGGATCAAGTGTTGTGCTTGGCACCAAAGGGTATACAAAAAGTCAAGATAATCCTTCCCTCAAGATTTTTGGATGATAAATAGAAAGGATTAAAAAAGGACATTCAAATATTTTTAAAAGATGTTTACAAGATAGTATTTTATGGATTTTTCCAAAAAACATTAATAAGTTGATAGTGTAAAAAGATAACTAGAGCTTCCAGTCAGCTTCCGTTTAATGAAAGCAATATTTAAGAGCCTTAATGCATGTTCCAAAGTGCCTATATATAGAGTTGCTTGCAAACTGGAAAAGCTTGGTTCAATTATTTTTGAGTGTGCACCTGAACATATGCCAAAAATTTGCCTAAGGTAAATAAGGTAAGTCTCTGCAAATTTTTAGTTGTAAAGTTATGGTGGTAACTGACACAAAACCCAATGTTAGTGATACATAGAAATTTATGTTAGTGAAATAAGACATTCAGCTATTTCAATTTGTCATGTAATGTCAGGAAAATCTGAAATGAGCCTTTAACCTCAACCCATTTTTAAGTATACCATCTTTTGTATGTTATTTAACTACGAGCTTGAAGTGGTGTATTTTAGAAATCATGAACTAGAATGAAAAGAAATGAATCCAGAGAATGGTAACATCTTCTATTTAAATAATATCCATATTTTTTTAAAAAATAAATAATATCCATATTTCATAAAAATTTACTTGAAAGCGAGAAAATAGAAAACCATAAATTATTTAAAGAGGAGGTCTCCTCATTAGAGTAAGGGAATCTCACCTTAGATGAAATCCAAAAATGTTTTAAGGGAGGAATTTCCAGAAGTGGGTTACATTTGGACCTAACAACTTAAGATCAAGATATGGAACAGGTGTTTGAGAATTCAAGCTTATGTCACATTTATGAGACAGTACTGAGAAATTTGCCTGTTATCTATGAAGGAGAGGACACTTAACTCTGACCCTTCAAGTGTGAGACACAGGAGCCTGAGGACAATCCAGGGTGGGGCAAAAGTAGGTTTACAATTGTTCACATGGAAAATAATACAATCATTAATAAATAATAATACAAGAATAAACTGTTTCGTGTACTCACAACTGTAAACCTACTTTTGCCCACCCCTTATTACCCATGCTGATCTCAACAGTGTTTTAGTGGCTTATAAAGGGTGTACTTTAGGTGGAGTCTGAGATTTAGTTGTCAAAATTGAGTCCAAGATTCTTCAAGTAATTTAACAGAGACTGAAACCCAAAATCATGAATAAATATTGAATTTGGAAGTATATATGGAAACACTGGAACACAAAAATATTAACAGCCAGTTTGTTCATGGTTATGTTAAGTAACATCTAAAAGAATTACAAAAAGTCAGTATTTAGAAATGAAACAACAGGAGATCTATCAGAAATTCTATCTGAAAATGAATTACCGTAATGTAACTAAAATTAAAAAAAAAAAATTCAACTCAAGAATACAAGAAACAAGAAGAGATGAAGACAATTAATGTCACTGGCTGGCCAGTGCTAGGTACCCACATTTAAAATAGTTAAATATAAATATTCTCAGGAAAATTTTTGGTTCACAAAGTACTTTAATACACATTATTTTTCATTCATTAATTCATACACTTGCCTTATTTTTCCTTTCTGACAATAAACTGTCATTCTCAATTTAACAAAGCCTGTTAGCAAACTTACTAGGTGTTTTCTTACATACGTAATAGAGTATTCACATAGAGTAATAAATGAATTTTATGGAATGGATTAATTCATTTATTCATTGGTGTGCAAAGGCAGTGCGTGTGAATCCTGTATGTCTTTAAAATACTACAAACATTGTGTTTTTAAAAGGTTCAAAACTTCATGATATTCCATTAGCCACAACTCAAATCCTATTATCAAGTCTACCTTTTAAAGACTATCAGCCTAGACATGCTTTGTATTATTACTAGGCTAAAAAGACTCTCAATTTTGAAAAGATATATTTTCATAATACAGTTATTGCACCAGCTGCTTCTGGTAGAAGGAACCAAACTATGACCTCTCTCACCAGCAGGATCAAGTCCATTGTTTTTACAACTGAATGATATTTGCTCATAAGGCTAAAAATGTGTGTGGGCTATAAGAAATGAAGTTAAGGCCCTTTCTTTCTTCTTTCTCTCTTTCTCTTCTGTCTTTCTTTTGTCTCCAATCTATGAACCAGAAAAATCTAGCATGTAATTAGCTTCAGAACGTGTCTTAATTAGACATTATTTAATGAGCAAATTATACAGTTTAATTTAATTAAAATCATTTATTCTCAGCAAAATCAAACATATCATTGAGTTTACATAGAAATACAATTTTCCACTGGATCTTCATAAAAACACACTGGTGAAACAAATTTTCATAATTAATGACCAATTATGGACTGTTTAATCATGCCAGTAGCAGAATCGATTACCTGATTACCATTAAAAATTGGTAAAGTAATGTATCTTAAATGTGCAAATATCATCTTAAGTATTCTATTGTGTTACCATTGATAATAAATGGCCACTAAATATATAACTATTACATAAAGCTTTTTAAAGTACAATAAAAATACAAATTCTATCTGTTAAAAAAAAGCCATCGATATGGCTTCTAAACGTCCTCATTATACAAATTCCAAAATACTATATGACAAACAAAATTATAAACACATTTCTTTATGAAACATATACTACCTCTAATTAAGGACAACTTAACAGATACCAGAAAACAAACAAGAAAGTTTATATATATATATCATAGAACATTATGGAGATACATACAAGTATACTATTGCATAAGCTATTTGGTTTCTTTTCCTAGTGAAAATGTACCTTTAGCATTTGAAGAAAATTTCCAAGAGTAAAAGAAAAGAAAAATCTGATTTTGAGATGTACCCGCAATCTAACCTCATTAATTTATTTTTCTTACATTGTGATGAACCAAATTATAAGTTTTGACCATAAATTTTTGTTGCACTGAGCGAAAAATATTATTCATGTTAAAGACTAAACTGAGCAGCAACTTGATTTTTGTGAAAAAATGAGATTCTAACTTTAACAACAAAAAATTAAATTTGCTAAATAATATTGATGATATTGATGAATGAATTGATATTGATGATAGTGATGAATATTGATGAAGAATAGTTGCCATAGGTTTTACAGTATCAAAACTAATGGGACATCACAATATTTTGAGACAAAAAAATATATTTGGTAAAGTAAATATGAGTAACAGACACTCCAACTATAGACAGCATACATTCCAAAAGCTTTTTCAGGAAACATGAGATCAAATGATATTTATATGTTTAGTAATGTAACTTATCTCATTAGAAATTAAATTTTATGTGTTTTGTAAATAGCAAATTTTAATTTTTTCCACAATATTTATGAAATAAATAAAATATTTAGAGTATAACTGATGATAATGACTAACTTTATTACCTTGCATTTACTAATACTCTAAATACATTTGGTTTATTATAAGAATTTATATTTTTGTTACTTCTACTAAAAATCACCTGGTGGCATTATATTCAAAGTTTACATTTTTTCAATGATATGAAACAACACTTCATACATAAAATGACATTTGTCTAATGAATGGTAACATGTTTATTAGTTTGAATACAGTATTCAGTTTGGCATTGGTATATCTTTGTAGGACTTTAAAAGGTATCATTAAGGTATGGCTTTTGGGAAATCAATAATAAACTAGCAGCCTGGAGTATGAACACAAATTTCAAGATGCTAACTATTTAGAACTCAAACACAAGATAGATATTTGGATAATTTGTCTTTTGATTAAAAATTCTTCTACAACAGAAATGAACATAAAAGAATACAGTGAGTTGCTTTTAAAATAAAATGTTACAGACCAACAGTGAATGTATAAGAAAATTTTACTGGAATAATTTTCAGAAAGTGAAGATATTAAAAAATATATTGGCACATGTATAAGACCTGTCATAAAGTAATAGCGAATGATATAGGTATGTAGATAAAAATAAATTTAACATGAATCAGGAATTCTTTTCTTGACATCAGCACCTGCTATCTAATGGGTCGAGACAAAATACTGTGCCTTCAAGAGTTAGTCCCATTTTGAACCCCTCCTGTAAAACAGAGTAAAATCATTAAAATAGGAAATGCTCATGGCAAAAAAAGTAAAATAAAAATCAGTAAATCAAAGAGGCTATGAACAAAAGTTGAAATCTTCAGGCTTTGATCAACTAAGAAATAATTAAATGTCAAATGTTGGCTTGACAAATTTTTATATAGCCGTATACCCTAGACAGATCTTTACACCCATTAGCATTTTGAAAGTTTTAAATATATGTGAGGTTAGCATGCACGAGAGAGAATAAATTAGAAATATATGGAATTAAGCCGTTTTAAGACTTAAACATCTTTTTTTTTCAGTAAAATCTTTGTCCTTCTTAAATTTCTCTCTGTTGGCTCTAAAGATCAATATTCATTTAAATATAAGTAATATTTAAATATAAGTGAGATAGTTAACCTTCAAATTGATAAATGGTTCAAGATAGCCTGCTAGTTTTCACCTTTCCTTCCTGGTTACCACTCTTCAGGGCCTGATAAAATACATTTAGTAGATGCAATGTCCTACCCTACGTGGAGCACAGGACTGCAGGCCTCTGTGCCAGGGAGAAAGCTTCCTTCACTAGGCCTGCTGTAGTCGTAAGTTTTTACTTTGAATCTCACTTCACTGAGCATGTTTTAGATGTTTTAGGACATTTTTGGAAATTAAGTTGCCTTTGATTTATTGATAGCAAGTACACAATTGCTGTAAAAGGTTGTTTTTGTTTTGTTTTATTTCTTAGATTTTCAGTTAAAAGTTAGTGGCAAAAAAAAGTTTTCTTTCTCTACTCCAGGCTCTCTTCTTTTTGCAGAAGATAGATAATTGAAGTATAAGCTATCTCCATCCCCACATTTGTCCGTAAATCTTTGCACACTGCCAACGAAGAAGAGGTGAAAAGCACAGACTCACACTCATCAATGAAACTGGAGACCATGATTAGGTTTTCCTGTAGAAGCAGTGTGGCAGTGTTTTATTTCTCTTTTTTCATATGTCAGCGATTTTCAACCTTTTTTATCTCACGGCACACATAAACTAATTACTAAAATTCTGTGGAACACCAAAAATACATTTTTTGCCAATCTGACAAAAAAACAGGCATAATTTTGATTGAATTAGAACAAAATAATAATAAAAGTGATTACTTACCCTTTTGTTCCAAAGTGACTTTTAAAAAAATCAGGTGCCTGTACTTGTATATAAGTATTTCTGGTACCAAGAATTAAACAATCAGATGCAACCTTATTATGCAATGTAACCAGAAAGATGCACCTCTATTATATGATCTATATGTTTGTGGTTCAAGACAGGGCACTCAGGCCATGGCTACTGTTGTGTTGGCTGCTGTCACTTTTTAATTGACAATCTAAGGGAAAAGAGGCCCGTGCCTCTGACTAAACAGTCAGGTATGGCATGTTTTCAACATTCTTGCAGCACACTGGTTGAAAATCACTGATATATATGTATCCATACGTGTATATATACAAATATATAATATAATATATACATTTCTAACTTTCTTACTAACAGAACTGAAATTTTGTTCAGTGAGATCATCTGTAGCTGGGGTGGCCATGTGACACATTATTGGCAAATAAAATGTAGACAGTAGTCTATTTCTGAGGAAAAAACACGTCTCTCAAAAATAAGGCTTTTGTCCCCAGTTCTGCTTGGTGTGTTTTGTTTAATTAGATTGTATCTACTTGCGTGTTAACCAACTGTGTATCTCTTTGAATTTCCAAAATTCCTTTCATTTAGAACAGGTGTCTAAATGTACTCATGTTATTACAAATCCAAGGTAAATAGTATGATGCAGAGGAAAAAGGTTGTTATAAAACTGCAAGGCACACCTATTCTCTCGTAATGTTCAGAGAATGCTCTTCACTGTCTACAGCACAGACCCTACAGAGTGATCACTGCAAAGGTTTTCCAAAATTGCTTCCCATGACTTGGAATACAAATTACTTTTAGTTGAGCAAAAGTCAGAGTACTTACCATTATTTTTTCAAACCTTGTTCTTATCACATGAGTATTTTGTTATATTTATGCTGCCAAATACTTAGAAAAGTCAGTACTTTAAGCTGAACATAGTACAAATAACCTGTTTTTAAAAATATTTTATTTGAATATCTGAAGATATGTGTATTATGTCATCTTGGGGTATATTAGGTGGGTAGAAAGACATAGGTTGATAGCTTAGGCTATATATTACCTTCAGAAAGGTCTGATACCATACAGTGTTTTAAAATTTTGCCAGTTCAATCTGAAATTAAACCAGTGTCACTTCAATGACCCTGAAAATACTATTTATCAACGTACTATCAGTATTTGAAAAGCTCAATAGCAATAAAAGTAAAATAGGGTTCAATCACTATGTCAGTAATTTAAAAAAAAGTTTATCACTTAAAAGAACATCTCCATGGTGATTTATAAGGATCCTTTTGAAGTCCTCTTAGATTAATTTAATCACCCAGATTAACAAACACAGTTATATGGGGCCCTGGTTTTTTTCTCCTATGATAGAATTTCCCTTACGCTTTCTGACCTTGCCTCCTCGCTCTCATTTTGTAAATCATGATTCGGCGGACATGCAATCTGTCTAGAATTTGCACATCCTCTGGAATTTTTAACTTCTCAATAAAAGTGAGGGTTTATTTAATTTATGTAGTGATGGAAATTAAAATTAATATCATACAAAAATAATTTTATTAGTAATATATTAATAGTTTTTTTGTATGAAATATTTTGCCCAATTGTATTTTCTATTTTTCTGAAGTAGGGAGAAAAGCATATCAAGGAAGGAAAAACCACTCATATGCAAAAGTTGTGAACATGTTGAAGTAGGTCAGAGTCTCCTTTCTTTCCATCTATAAATTTTTAAAACGATTTTGATAATATAAAAGCCAGATTATATGACATATAACTTGCTATTTATTGTATTACATATATAAAGAATTTTCAATATATTTTAATCATAGCAGAACAAACTTTCTACTATTATTCTGAGTCCCCATTAAACTAGTTTAATGACTATATAACATTCTATTATTTTTGAATATGATTTAATTGTTTCCAGTATTTTACAATTACTAATAAGGTATACTGAATTATTTTTCATATTTTTCACATTTATACTTATTTTCTCCCCAGAATAGATTGCATTACTTCGATGAAAAATACAAATACATGTATTAGTGACAAATTCTCTTCCAAAGGAATGCTATGAGCTGACCCTGGTCCCTCAGTGATTTAGAATGCTCGCATCATCATACCTGCACTAGTACTGATTATTAGCAAGAAAATAATATTGATAATTTGCTAGATTAAAACACATTTATAGTCCTTTACTTAATTTATATGTTTTCTCTGATTAGACTTAAAATGTTTGCATACCAGTCACCTGTGGTTTTCTTTTGTGAACTATTGTGTGTGTTTTTTAATTTTTCTGTTAATTGTTTAGTTTCTTAATCATTTGTCTATTTACTTTAATTATGTGTATGTGATATAGTTATATTTTTAGAGAGAAAATTTTAAAACTACAGAAGTTCTATATGCCCTTACAAAAATTTCTCTCCAAATAAAAAGTCTGATAGATATTCACTTATATTTCAAACATTTTAATCAGTCTAATGTTAATGAAATTTATTTGAATATTTGCTGTTTCTGCTATGCATCAATCCTTCAAAATTATTAACCAATTGACTTAATACTACTTAATGCATAATTCTTTCACCATTCATTGACTTGCCATGCTTCTTTTTTAATGTAGTAAGTTATTATAACTTATAAGGTGTACTTCTGGGCTATCAATACAGTTATAATGATTGGCCTGTCAATGTCATACACACAGAAGTTTAAATTATGTGAAATGCAAAAATTAAATTATTGATTTCAAATAAATATATAATTTTCTAACAATTTATAATAAAATACGGCTTAACATTTCTGATTAAATTGTACATGTATGAGATCTTCTGTGATTTCCTCTGTAAATATAAAAGGAAAACCAAATATTTCAATAGACTTATTAACTCAATATAATGGTTTATCCAACCCATTATACTGTATACATTTTTTACATTCTTTGCAAAGATAAAAATAGTAGCTAAATGTGTGCATTAGATTAATTGGGCTAACAAGATAAATAACAAGTCATTATAGACTTTTGATGAAAATAGTATTTTACTTTAGTTGAAATGACCTTGCAAATAAATCCTGGACTCAAAGAAACAGACAAGCAATGAGATGGACAATGCAATAGTGACTAAGTCATTGAAAAAATACTTTAAAGTATGGGTTATAAGATCTCTTTAAACACAACTGATAATCAGACACATCCATATGAAACTGCTATTTGAATATTTATTAAATAAAGCTTGCAAATATTATGGTTTTAGCTTTAAAAAGTTGTAAGCTGTTTAAAATTATTATTAAAATAATATACCAACCATCTCTGGCGCTACCCACCATGAAAGCAGAAAAGAATAAAAAAGACATTAAGAAAATATTAGAAATGGCAAAAACTAAAAGCAAAAATACCACAGCTTAACATTATTTGACTAACACATCATGAACTCATTCCAATACAGTGTTTCTCAAAGTAAATTCCTACAAAAATCTAAAGCTGTAGGTTTATCTTCAAAAAATATATAGAAAAATTTTCAATTTTGTGAAAATCTAAAAAACATGAATAGAAAAGTAGCCTTTATGGTTTGTATAACACTTGAGAACAAATACTACCACATCAGTACCTATATTTGTATTTGTCCTTACAAAAGCATACCAACTGATTTCATATAAAAGAAATTAAGCATTCCTGATAAATTATCATGCACTATTTGAGTGAAAGTTTCATAGTATTTGAAATATAGCAAAGAGATAGGGAAACTGTGCCATCAAACAAAATACATGCTGACATCAACAGAAGGTTGATATTGGTGATTTTAGTTTCAGCCAAATAGCATCATTCATCCTGTTATATTAAAGTTCTTAATTTGAATTTAATTGGGTGTTGTAATTTTCCTTTTATTTAACTTATGATTTTGAATTAATATTTGTATGAGAACTTCAAGGGTATGTCTCTGATAAAAACTAGCATATAACTTCATCAAAATGTAAAGTGAAAATATAAACAGCAGAGTTTACTGTAGTGTTTGTAAGAACATTTATTAATCATGGGTCATTCTATAGAGTTCTTAAAACCAGTATCTTCAAACTTCCAGAATTGAAAAATAAAAGGGAGAGAAAGAATGAAAACCCAGCTAAACTGCATTCCTAAAAAACTTGTCACTGGGTGTCTGCTTTTTCAGTAAAAGCCCAAAAGTTATGAACTCAAACTACAATGCTTCTTTTAAGAGAGACTGATTTTAGTCTCACAAAGATTTTCCTTCATCTACCCATTCACAATTTTGAAATTCATAATTGTTAAGACCGAGATAGAATCTTATAGATCTAATGTAATGACCTTTTAATTCTTGGATTTCAAAATAATAAACCATTAGAATCCATGTAATTTTGTATAAAAAAAAAATGAACCATCTTATTGCCATTGTAAACTGCACCATTAAGAACAAAACTAAACCAAACCTTATCCTTACCATCTGTAGGAGTAGTTTTAGGACTAAATGTATATACTTATTTTAAAGTAATTATTTTAAGTAAGTTTTTATACTGCTAATAATTCAAGGAAAAGGTAGTTTTGTTATACAGAATCACATATTAAAAAGAAAAAAAACATTTATGGGCCAATCAGTTAAATAGTCACCTGCATTTCATCTAATTTTGATTGAATATCTGGAGGGAAATCCCCTGCTCCACAATTAAACGGGTCAAAAGGTTCTGCTCCAAACAAGTCCCGTTCTAAAAAGAAGAAAATAAGTTAGTATATGCATAACAAGAAGTGAGTTGGGGTGTGTTAGATCTGAAAGGCAGAAATATATAAAGAAATACTTACATGACCAAATGAGCTACTATCTACACTTACACTCTATGCTGGGCTTTCCTGAGCTTAGACTAGTTAAGTACCAATGTGGACACAAAGATTCATTTTATAATGTGTCTTTCATCAAGGCGTCCTTAATATTAAATTTGCCAAATATTTGATAAATGTATATTACAATACTTACAATTTACTGAAGCAATTTAAATGTACTAAAATGAATGTGCTATTCACTGAGACTTCCTTATTCCATTTACTGATGACTTTGCAACACAGTAGCGAAGCAATATGTGGGACTGACTAGATTAGTAGGTCGTTTTACTCATAGTACACATACTTTAATCTCAGAAAAAATTTAAGAAATATCATCTTATGTAGTGTGAAATCATGTTGCCTTCCTAGATAACCACGAGACAGGTTGTTTTAAAATGCCTCTCATCCCAGTATCAGAAAGGTCTCTGTAAATATAAAGTATGCATTATTTTTTATCACAAAAGAAGTATGCAAGTTAAAATTGGTGGCTGTGATTGATAAGGCTATGATCTATTATATAACTGAAAAAAATTTTTAAATGGTTAAGAAATTCCTTTTCTCTGAATCAATTCAAATAAAGCCCTAATTGACTAAAAAAAAAAATTCAAATTATATATGGGCATGGGAATTTATAATGTAATAAGAACTCCATTTTTCAGGAAACTATAACTATATTCTCTAAATTCAAAGCTATGTAAGAAATAATATTCATGCTGCTTGAGTTCTGCCATATCCTCTCTATCACTTTTTCATTGCCATTATTGTTGCTTCTCTAGTTATAACATTTTGGGGAGTCATCAGATTCATATATTAAATAATAAATGTAAAATGCTTAGAAGTTCCTGGTTCTGGTAAGTATTGTATAAATAAGAGGGACATATTTATTTATCATCCAAATAAAGACACTTTTAAGAAAGTGAAAGGAGTGCTACCAATAGTTATACCAGAACGGAAGGAATAAGCCAGGGCTATCCTAAACAAATGGGAATTTGTTGCCACCTTTCATATAACTTATGGGTATTATTACTGTTTTTACAATTTATTTCCCCAGTCTGTTTCTCAGGCAATGAACCAGAACTTGGAGGACAGAGGAGCTTTTCTTTAGAAGGGGTATCCTGGTTACCACCGCTCCACAAGCACAGTGAGCCATGCTTTACACGTGGTAGGTGTTGGTTAAAAAAAAGAATTAATGAAGAGAAAGGAGCTAACCAGAGGAATAGAGATTTTCATTACACAGATTTTCTGAAGTGAGGACTCAAAATTCCCAGAGACTTCAGGTGGGCTGAAAGGCATCTCTGACAATCCTGAAATGCAACGCAAAATTCTGTAAAAGTGGGCATGTTGCGGTTTTCTGTAAAGAGGTTTTGTAACTTTTATCATATTCTCAAGGGTTCATGACTCCTCCACAACTTAAGGAGCTACTGCCTTTACATATTAAGATATAAATATCATGTAAATTAATAAACATTACAGAGCTCTATGGCTTAATTTGGTCAGCTCAAATGAATCTAAAATTCAAAACAAAATATCACGTAAGTCAATTGCTAATAAAAAAAAGGTCTGCTATGTAATTAATAACATTAAAAGTATTAAATCTAATGCAAGAGTAAAATAATAAAAACTAATACAGTGGTCCCTCGGTTTCTTCTGTGATCCGTTCCGGAGACCGTTCGAGGTCTGAAACGTTCGGAAACCGAGGGATCCACAGCCACCAGCTGGGCCTCAGGGTCTCGCCCTCAGCGGGAGCCGCGGGGCATGGTCGACTCCCGAGGCGTGTTCGGAAACCGAAGCATTTCCTTCTAGGTTTATAGCGTTCGTCAATGGAGATGTTTGAAAACTGAGGTACCACAGGACAGTCACTCTTTCCTTTATCCACTAAATATATGTTGGACACATATTGTGTGCCATGCATTTTGCTAGGTAATTTTTGCTAAGATTGAAGTAGTGAAGAAAGGACCAAGTCCTTTCCCTCATGGAATTTATAGTAAATCGGGGAACGTAGTATTAAACAAATTAATTCAAGTCTGATATATATTCAAAGATCAAAACTATGTTCTGGAGAACTAGTAGTAAGGAGAGAAACTCAGGAGAAATCTTATAGGTCTCTACTTTAGTAGATAATGAAAAAAGAATGAATACATTTAAGATTTCATTTAAAGAAAAAGTACTATTACTAAACCCCCACTGGATTAGAGTTTTAGACAATTTTACAATTAAAATTTAGTTGAACAATTTGTCCTTTAATTGTTAGTATAGATAGTACAGGGGTAATCAGGATTCTATATTCATCTATCTATCTATCTATCTATCTATCTATCTATCTATCTATCTATCTATCATCTATCTATCTATCATCTATCTATCTATCTATCATCATCTATTATCTATCTATCTTCTATATCTATCATCATCTATCACATATCTATCTCGTTTTTCTATTGACATATTGCTATATTTCTTAAACTTTAGCACTCAGGATAGGTAGACATTAAAAAATTCAGCAAGGTGCCGGCTGGGCGTGGCTCAGCGGTTCAGCATCAACCTAGGATCCAGGAGATCGTTCTTCGATTCCCGGTCAGGGCACATGCCCGGGTTGCGGGCTGGATCCCCAGTGAGGAGCTTGCAGGAGGCAGCTGATCAATGACTCTCTCATCATTGATGTTTCTCTCTCCCTTCCTCTTTCTGAAATGAATAAAGATATATATATATTTTAAAAGTAAGCTTACTAATTTCGGTAGATCTGCTAGGTACTGGAGGTGGCTGTGTGCCGTTGGGAGTAGGTACTGAAGACTGGTGTGATGTTGGAGAAAATGGAATCATATCAAAGATGTCAGTGGAGGGTGACTTAGGTGACACACTGCCTGCCTGCAACGGAAATAATATAAATTAGGGTAGTATTTCGTGTAGATATATTATAATGCTAAATATTTCATATACATATAAAACATATGTAAACAACAAATTCAGTTGAGTCAAAAATTGTTAAATATTGGCAATTTCATATGGTTCAAACAGTTACGCTAAATGCTTATTGGCAAGAAAGCGTTTGAAAATTTCCGCAAAAATGTTCTCAAAGATGATGGCAAACATAGTGACAATACTATCTAGATGCATATAAAAGATGCATTGAATTTTTTGTATATCTAGAAATAAATGCCATTTGTATCAGAGAACTGAATATGTTAGAAACTATATAAAACATGATTTCAGTAATATATTTGGCATAGGATTATAAGTTTTGAACAAAAATAATTGAACATAAGTGATGTACCTTCTTAAATATAACTATACAAATGCAATTGATAACAAGTTTTAAAATTTTTAAAGGGTATATTTTAATTTGTATTTATAACTACAATGACAGTCAACTATTAAATTCATTGCAGTGCCTTTTATTCTGAATAAGATTTCATCAGATTTTCGATAATAAATACCTACCTTTTGAAACAAATTTATAATCACTAAAAATACAACCCAAATCATTGTGATCTGGGCCAGTCTGGGCCAGGATATAATGTAAGAATGAAATAATCATCACTTTGGTTGTCATTCCGGGGAAAACATACACACACACACGCGCGTCCCACAGAAAACAAAACGGAACAGAATTCCCACACTGGGGAGGGGTAATGAGGAAAAACTTGCTTTTCCTATAGAACATGAACAGAGACTGCTTAGAGTAGCTCATATTAAAATTACAGTTCTCAGAATACATTTATTTTTCTGATTCACAGACGACGAAAACAATGAAGAACAATAAGGCTACTTATGTGTAAAGAGTGACAGATCTGTTTTCATGCAGGAAAATTGCTGTCACCTCCCTTTTTTAACAACCTGTTTAAAGTAAATACTATCCAGACTCCCAGGCAACTTTATCCCTCAGCACTTTCCTCCTACTCAGGAATAGTGTTCTCCTGATCATCCCATCCCTCTAATTCCCCTGGCTTCCATCTTCCTCGGCCTTCTCAGAATGTAAAGGTACTCAAACCGCAACTGCAGTTGAAAACAAAACAACCAAAAATGTCTTCACTCTGTCCCTCTTTATTCCTCTAACCTCTCCTCTCTCTTTCTCTTCCCCTCAAGGCTAAGTTCCTTAAAAAAGGTACTACATTTACTGCCCTAAATTACACTTCATTCAATCCTCAACTCCTATCAATCTACACTTTGCTGTTTCTGCACTAACCGCTATTGAAACTGCTTTTATCGCCAATGACCTCATTTCCCCACTGCCATATCTGGGTCCTTTGACGTCCCTGTTCTATTTCATCTTTCTGTGGATTTGTACACCATCAGCACTCTCCACTTGGAACTCCCTTGTATCAGGTAACCAAAGAAAGCAAAAGTGGCATACAGAGGCCCCAGATCACTTCACATTTTTCAAGACATACCTGTTTTTTTCATTACTATGTAAATAGCACATTTTGGTAGAATTAAAGGAAATAAGTGGGATAATAAGAATTTTCTATTTAGAAAATTACATGAGGTCGTGGGATGCTGCTCTCACTGACTGGCTTGGGAAGGCCACATTTGGAAGGTGGTGGTATTATTCCCAGTGGTAGTCTGGAATCAGTCGAGTTAACAGGAGTGACAGTAATGGAAGAAATGTTTAGACAGGGAGATGAGTCATCGCTAGTACGCCAGAGAGAGGATGAGCAGCTCTGAAACCCGTGTTGCTCATAATCAGACATTTTGAGCAGCAGCTGTAAAGAAAGGACAGAGAAATACACTAAGGAGAAGAAAGAAGACATGGAAGAAGAAGAAAAAAGTATATGTAAAATTTTGTTTGTAAAATGCTATTTTATTACAAGGATAAGTAATTTGGGGAAAAAAAAACCTTTACTAATATTTAAAACAAATAGTTTTAGTAGAGTTTAGTAGAGTCCATTTTCCCCTTGTGACAGTCTTTAAATTCTGAACTGTTTAATTTGACCACTTTTTACTGAAATATAACATTTTTAGATATTTAAATAAAATATTGCATTCATTAGACCTGGAGAGGAAACTGAGGAAAGCCTAAAGATTTATTTTGGAGAGAGTTTCTGGTGTAATGATGGAAAAAGGAAGGAGAGTAATAAGAAAAAAAAGGTCACTGAAGTAGGAGAAAGTCTATAAAAAGTTGTGACTTGGTACAAGTTTCAAAAAGGGTTATAACAATCATGTTAGGTTTAATCCTCAAAACATTCTTTTGAAGTATGAGTATTAGTAATGTTATGTCCCTATTATAATAAAGATATGGGAATTAAGGCCCATAGGTTCTTTGTGACTTATTCCAATATGGGGTAAAAAGCAGAGCCAAACTTCAAAACAACTGACTCCAATCATCACACCCTTTCAATAGGTAGTGAGTTCCAAATGGTCAGACTTTTCAGGATGGGCAGAGGGAGCTTATGAGCATCTTGCATAAATCAGGGAGATAATAAATAATAAGACAACATGCAAGCAGAACATTGTATTGAGTCTGAACATCAGTCTTTGGGTGACTTTTAGAAGCTATTTCCATTACAGCATATTGAAAAGCTACTGTCAAGAGCTGAGCAGGAGAGAGCTGAGCTGCCAGATGTAAGGTGTTAGAGTGGTCAGTTTAAACAAGTCAAAATGAAAGTAATTATTAAGTTTTTATTCACTTATAGTACTAGCATATGCAAGAGGTCAGAAAGCAGGTGCTGGTTCCATCAGTGCCCCATTTTCCCCTGGGGAATGGCACTGGGCAAAGGTCAGAAGTATCAGTGCAGAAATAGAGTACTGTCTCTCCCTGAGGGATTCCTGAACACAAGACTCCTGCTGGGGGCTTTTTGGAAGGGGTGACGGCAGCAGGCCAGGGAGAGGGAAAGCGGAAAGGACAGGGAGTAGAGAAGGACGGCAAAAGTCACAGTCAAGTCCCTTCAAGGCCTCCAGACAAGGTGGTCTTGGCAGAGGCACCTAAGAGAGGCCTTCGCCAGAGCCTCCAACAAGGAGGCCTTTGGGGGGAGGCACCCGAGTTCGGCATGCAGACACACAGAAGAGCTGCCGGCTTGGGATGGAGGAGGTGAGTCCCCCTCCTCCCTACTACGCACTGAATCTGGTGTGGGGAGGTGGTCTTCCCCGAGGCTTGCCCTGAAGCCTATCGTGCGGCCTGAAAGAGCACACATAGGATTTAGCCTGGAGCCAGACTCCTCAGCTACAAATCACACTGGACAGATTTTTCAACACTGATAGGACTTTGAGGCAGCACAGATCTGGCTTTTTATAAATCTTATCATGAAAGATTGTAACTACAATTATAGTTATGGGGTTCCCAACTAGTTTGAAGGAAACCTTTAAGCTCGGAACCACCTCTTCACACGTTTCTGGAAGCACTGATAGAAAGAAGGCAGTGTGTAGGCCCTCGCAAGGTAGTTCAGCTGGTTAGAGTGTTGTCCCAATAATCAAGGTTGTGGGTTCAATCCCCACTTAGGGCACAAACAAGCAACCAACGAATGCATAAATAAGTGTAACAACAAATCTATGTCTCTCTCTCCCCACCCCTTTAAATAAAAAGAAGGCAGTGTAAAGTGAGAGATTTAAACTGAGGGAAGAGTTCAGCGGGGAAGCAAAATCTTGGATGGTCTGAGTTATATAATCTACCACTCTATTAATATGCAAAAAGTTATATATTCATTGCTTTCCCTATTGATCTCCATAATGATCTATCTATTACTCTACAGATATGTATACATGTTTGCATGTATCTAAACATAAATTTAAGTCTATTTTATGATCTATATAGTTTACTGTATAATTTTGATTGATAGCCACCTCTTAATTATAGGTGACAACTGCAAGCTCCTTGTGAACATTTTTTTTCTAAAATATTCTGTATAACACATTAATACAATCATCTACATATCTCAAAGAGGAAAACTGAAACAAGGAGAGATTAAGTGACTTAATCAGGTACTCATGGTTAGAACTGGAATGGAATATATTTTTCTTCCCATTAGACAGGGTTTGCTTCTTTAGAATCACCTTTTGTGCAAGTAACAATTATGAAAGTGAAGCTGTGGACTGGTAATCGTTTTTTGTGGACACCAAGTGTTCCTGAATCAATGTTCATGTTTAAAATGTATGCCTTTGCTTAAAGATTCACATTGGCTTGCTGTGTGCTAGGGAGTTTTCACAATTTGTTCTTGCCTATCTTGACTTCAGTAGTAGTTGAGAAAACACTAGAGGAAGATAAATAGGAAGGTCTGTTTACCCGCAATAAATACACATTTTAGGTTATAATTGTTCTATCAAGTCTAATCAGTGGCCACACAGTTGATTATGTAAAGGCAGAATTTTATCCAGTAACACTTGGTTTAACTGAAAGAAAGACATTTTACTCAGCAATAGAAAGTCCAGTATATCTTAGGACTACAATTTTGTTCACTTAGCTTTCCTGGCAATAGTTTGATTTGGTTAAAAGCTTCTATAGCCAGAAATGTAAAATGTAAGCTCCCAGACACAAGAATCAAGAGGAACAATTTGATTTAAGTTGCTATGCCCACATCTTATAATGAAACAATCCTCTGGAGGCGTTCACAAGGCTAGGAGGGCAGAATAAACCCTTTTTCTGATATAAATACAGGCAACACTGCCATGTGAATGTAATAAATGGAAATCAGATTGTTCCTAGATAATTAGTACCAAATGGTGGAAAACCCAACCTCTAATCTATTGCCAAACCACTAGAGCACAGCAAAAAGCAAACAGCACAGTCAAGTAACGGAAATTTCTCGGTGTATCTAAATGACTGTCTGAATAAGGACCCAATTTCTAAAACCAATGAAAAGATTTCCACAATTTCAGTGTGATGCAGAGGTATGTAACACGGGTACTATCAAAGGCTATTTCACTTGGCAGAAAAGGAGCCCATGATGGAACCACTGGAGCGGTACTCAGGAGACATGCATGCATTCTGTTTGTTAAGAACAAGCGAAAAGATAGCATTGCAATTTATACATGAGAAAATGAAAAATAGGAGCGGTCTTCACTCATCATGCATTTAAGGAATTGGTTTTAAGCGAAAAGGGGGTGGGATATATATATTAAAGATACACATTTTTGTCATAATGAGAAATGTCTTTTAATTTTAATACTGAGAAGAAGAAGAAAGAAAAAAAAGGTCTCTTATTTTGTTGTCTTTAGCTAGAATTAAACTACTCCATAAACTCACCAGGAGCAAATTTATACTGAATGTATTAACCAAAACAATAAACAAGAGTTTACATGATGATAGGAAAAGAGCAAACTTTTTCATTCAAGTACCGTAAGTTCAGACCTCCTTCTTGAACTGCAGATTTGTATATTCTACATCTATTAAACATCTCTGTCCAGCAGGCAGAATCAACATGAGCAGAACTGAAATACTGATTCTGTATCGTTCATGGCCCCCAAGTCATGTCTATTTCAGAAAATGGCACCACTATCCAGATGCTCAGGATAAAACCTTAAGGGACAATCCTGTCCATTCTTGTATCCTACAGAGCCCAGCGACTCATCAGTAAATGCTGCAAACTCTACTTCCAAAATGTATCAAAAATCACACGTGCTCATTGCCTCAACTGACAGAATTCTAGACCAATTTACCCTTCTCCCTGTCCTGCTCCACTGCAGTAGTGTCCTAGCCAGTTTTGGGGACCTCACATTGGCCTCTTTATAGCCCATGGTGCATGCAGCAGCCAGATGATACCCTAATCCCATTTAAAACCTCTCAGTGACCTCTCACTCACTGCAATTAAACAAACAACAAAACCTTTACCATGGCCCCTGGGCTCTGATTCTCTCTTCAAGGTCATTTCCAACTTTTTTTGGCTCCTCCTTCAGGCACAAGGTCTTGTTACTGTTTCAGCCCTTTGCATTGACTTTTCATCATTCAGGCCTCCATTCAAATGCCATTTGCTCAGAAAGGGCGTCCCTGATAACTATCTCTTATAAAAGCTCCCACTCATTCCCTTCTATCCTACTCTATTTTATTCCATACATAGCATATATCAGATCTCAATTTTTAAATTTATTTAGTCATTTACCTATGTGTTAATATCCATCTCCCTCTCTCTCGTCATGAGGTACAAGGTTCTTAACAGCTGAAATTCATATGCTGCTAACATCCAGGGGCCTAGAACATCTTGTGTCTATATTTCATATTCCATAAATAGTTTACAAGCTGCCATAATAGATCACAACTGTATCAAATGTATATAATTGGCCAATGTGAGAAAATAATTATCAAAGTGATAGGCACTGTAATACGTAAGATACTACTTTAAAATACCAATAATGACTTAGTGGAACTAGAAATAATAAAAAATATATTACATTTACACAATCAAACCTTGAAATGACTTCAGAATTCTTGAAGATTTTCATTAAAAGTTTAAACTTAAAATTACTTAGTTTGCATCTTCAAAATTAATCAGTATCACCAACTCACATTACACCTAAATGGCTGACAGCAGCAACCTTTCCTTAGGGTGTCTCTGAGGAAAGTACAGAAATGCACCTGTTTCCACATACAAGCGACTCCTTTAAATACAAAGCTTCTCCATTTGGAACATGCTACTCAACAGGGCCTCACATTCTTAATCTATAATTTAATATAGAATAAAAAAATCAACACCTTAAGTAAGGCTGAAATTTCTAATTAGATCTGATTCTTTTGAACTATTGTTCCATGTTACAGAAATTCAACTTTATTTATTTATTTATTTATCCTCCTGAGGATATTTTTCCCATTGCTTTTCAGAGACAGTGGAAGGGAGTGAGCGAGAGAAACATCGATGTGAGACACATGAATTGGTTGCCTCCTGCACTCGCCCCANAACACCTTAAGTAAGGCTGAAATTTCTAATTAGATCTGATTCTTTTGAACTATTGTTCCATGTTACAGAAATTCAACTTTATTTATTTATTTATTTATCCTCCTGAGGATATTTTTCCCATTGCTTTTCAGAGACAGTGGAAGGGAGTGAGCGAGAGAAACATCGATGTGAGACACATGAATTGGTTGCCTTCTGCACTCGCCCCAACCAGGGCAGGGGATCGAGCCTGCAACCGAGGTACGTGCCCTTGACCAGGAATCAGACTCGAGACCCTTCAGTTCCCCCGGGACCCTTCAGAACCCCGAGGTTCTAACCACTGAGCAAACCTGGCTAGGCCCAGAAATTCAACTTTAATGTTCGATCCCTTGCTAGAAAAGATTGCTTGTGATCTTTTGGTTATCCAATTAAATTTTACCAAAAATGTTACCTCTCATTTTTCTGATGTTTCCCATAACTGACTTTATCTGCTACTTCATCACACACTATAAGAACAACATCCATGCCAGGAATTTACATTATTTCATATTCTACCTTACTTTCAATGCCCCAAACCCCCAAAATTCCATTCCTACTTTTGTTCTCTTATTTTCCTCTTCCCAAAGAGACTATTTTAAAACTAACATTGGAGATAAATCTTTTATTTTATTTTAACTAGCAATTGCTTAATATGGACTATATTGTGTGTGACTAGCAAATCCTGATAGTTCAGAAAATTATTGTGTTTATATGTTTATTTTTATTAACTAAATATAATCTTAAATTATTTATAGAGAACCACTTTTGAATTGGAGTAATTTACATGGCAAAAGAATTACCTTCCAGTCCAGGGCCGGGGATCAAGCCTGCAACTGAGGTCCATACCCTTGACCAAGAATCAAGCCCGGGACCCATTTAGGAAAATCTGGCTCCCATTGACTGAGGGCTGGTCATCTGACTTGAGGGTTTGTCCCACCATAACACACCAGTGACTATTCTGCTCATGGAGAATCTGACACCAAATTAACTGTATATACAAAACACACCTAGAGTGTAATTTCAACGTGCACGATGGGATTCATAATTCATTTCAATGCTTCTTCAATTAATGTGTTAGTTGCTGTCTCTAATCCTTTAAACAAACTGCTGAGAACTTTAGCAATTTTGAAGTATGCTGTCCTTCAGTCCTCTGAAAGCAAAACAACCAACCAACCAACCAAACAAAACCTGCAGAGTCTCGTTTCCAGAGTTGTAAGTCCAGCAGGCATTTACTGTGCATCAGCTTTGCTAGACCAGCTGGCCCTCTGAGGTGCTTGGGGTCCTGTTAGTTCCTCCTGTAAAGCTAATGCTCAAATTTCCTAAGAACAAATGTAAAGCATTTCTAACCTAACAGAAAGTTGCTTTATTGCAGACCCATTGCAATGGGGTGCCTATATTTAAATTTGTATTTTAATTGTTTATAATTTTCATTGTTTTTGAAATTAAATTTCAATAGTTCGAATCATTCACAAACCTTCAGAACAGTGGATATTTATCACCATGTCAACATTTCATACTTATAAAAGAATTTTAGGTAATTTAACTACTTATTCTAAGTTATTTTTAATATCAGGAAATTGAGAGCTCATTTTAATAGATGTGAAGTAAATATAGATGTACTTATAGTAATTTATTTCACAGCTATATAAAATTGAAAATGAAATGCAAAAATATTTGATGATGCTCTTCAAATTTTTAAAAAAATTGTTAATAAGCTCCTACAACATTTTCAAAAAAATTTGAGTTAACCAGGTATATTTTAGCAATTCAAAAATGTTGAGTTCATTTTCTTTCAAGACTCAAATACTTTCTAGCTTTATCTTAAAGAAGATGTACATCACCCAGTGTATCAGCAATTTCAAAAATCATGTAATAAGACTTTAGGAGCCTGAGAAGTTATGAGACATGTACCTTTTTAAAAGTTAAAGTAAAGAAAAAAATACTGAGAAAGATATTATGTGACAAAAGAATATAAGTAAATCACATATTTATAATTTGAGTGATTTGCATAATGATTGATGAAATACATTTTCTACATGTGTTTTAAATGCAAAAGAGTGGTTTAGAGAAAATGATTTCTTTTTTAATTCACTCTTTTAATTATAGTCTTTGAAGCACTCTACTGAGACACATTCAGTACTAAAATGAACACAAACAAAGCCTATAAAAATTATTAAACAACTTCAGGAGAGTTAATCCATTTTTATGACTGGTTATTTGAATAACTGTGTTTTGGTGTGTTTTTTTATATAACTGACTCCACCAATGAGAACTGCTGAATAAATGGATATACTCACAGATAGTCTGTGTTCATTTATATACCAACATTCATGCTCACTATTTGTAATGGTCATCTCAGCCAGAGGGTCACAGAAATTTGCAAGTGTCGTATCTTCATTCCTCCTGCCCTTTGCCATTTATGAAGCCGACTTGGCAGCCACGTGAGAGAACCAAGGCACATGCATAACCCCAAACCTGACCCACCTTCTTCTCTGTTGCCGTAGTGCTTATCCAGGGCAACTGCTTTCAGGAGATAAAAGAGGGAAGTGCTTTTTTATCCACATGCCCCAAACTCCTCTGCTCCTCCCGAATCCACCTGGCCCTCAACATGATACCCTTAGTTCTTCTAGGGACAGAGGATACACAATGAACAAGCTTTGCATTTGCATCCAAATGGCAACGGATCTTATTTTACTCCTTTGTAAATACAAAGACTGGAGTAAAACTAGTTTTTACATGCTTTCAACTATCTTATTAAGACTACTTGAAAAAGTAACTTCCCCTTCATTTATCTTTGTACTCCTAATTTATTTCACAGGATGATTTATAATAGGACTTTCAACAAGACCCAAAAGGGTTTTGCACCATTTGGGGACTGAAAGTTGAGGGAGTTTGAGCTGACGCTCTCTGTTCCTTTAAAATGGGGGAGGCAAAATTTAAAAATGGAACTGTCTATGACCCAGCGATTTCTGGGGATGATAATATCTGAAGAAACTCAAAGCACTAATTAGAAAGAATATATGCACCCCTATGTTCATTGCAGCATTATTTACAGTAGCCAAAATTTGGAAGCAACCCAAGTGTTCATCAGTATGTGAGTGCATAAAAAAGCTGTGGGACATTTATACAATGGAACACTACTTGGCCTTAAAAAAGGAAAGCTTACCCTTTGTGACAGCTATGGATGGCCCTGGAGAGCATTAGGCTAAGTGAAGTAAGCCAGTCAAAGCAAGACAAGCACCATCTGATTTCACTCATATGTGGAATCTAATGAACAAAATGAACTAACGTGCAAAATAGAGACAGACTCATAGATAGAGAGCAGGCTGACAGCTGTCAGAGGGGGGAGGCTGGGCTGGGTGGGTGGAGGGACTGAGCAAAACAGAGATAAAGAGAGAAAAAAATCATGGGTGTGGACAACAGTGTGCTGACTGCTGGAGGGAAGAGGAGGCGGGAGGGAGGGGAGGTGAGTACGGGCGGAATAAATGGTGGAGGAAGGAGACTCGACTTGGGGTGGTGAACCCACAGCACAGCGAACAGAGCAGCTGTTGTAGAATTGTGCACCTGAAACCTGTATAATTTTAACCAGTGTCACCCCAATAAATTCAATAAAAATAGATAAATAAATAAATAAAATGGGGGAGGCAAAAAAAAATCATCATCTTGATGAGAAGCAAATAGTAATTGGTAGTGAAGAGAAAAAAAATAAGAAGAAATATTATAACAAGCCACAACCTGAAGAGGGGGCTCCAGCGCCTCACTGGGCATAACAAAGATACATGGGGACATAAGCTCCCTCCTGTCCTCTCTCATCTTGGCCACGTTGGCCCCACAGTCATGAACCATTTGCCAAGCAATTGAAGTACCAGCTACTGTAGTGTGGGAGATGGGAAAGGGTGAGTGTAGAGGCAAAAAAGTTTTTTGACCCATTTCCAGGGCACACCAAATTTGAAACCCTAATTATAACTTCTCATAGAAGCATTCTTCATGATGATGAACTGGTAAAATATTCTAGTACTAGGTGGCAAAATATGTACATATATGCTAAAAAGTGTTCACTGAGTTAGCCTAGTGATTGAATCAAAATGAACTTGCATATAAATATTTGCAACAAAAATCCTTTTCAAAAGTTTGCAAGTACCGTAATTGTGTTTAGGCTCATAGTATATGCCATAAATGATATATTAGATACTTTTTAAATACAAAATAAAATGTACATTTTTATGGAGAATATCATTAGTACAGAGGATTCAAAAAGAAAAATATCCTAAATATACTTTGCCAAAAAGGAATTGTTTTAGATTCCACCTCCCTCCAAAATTTCTCTTAGCCAAAATCCAAAATAATGGTACCATACATGGTATTGGGGAAAGGATTTAAATTTATGAGAAACCAAAAGTAAATAATTTAACTCTAAACATTTGAGTGTTGTCTGCAGAGACTGCCACTCATTTTAGTGTCTGAAATACAATTCCCGTGGGAAACCTTGCTATGTAATATAAGAAACCAAATTTGGTCTTGCTAACAGTCCAGTTTCTAGGATGAAGTTCAGTACTACATGGGTAGATTGTCTTAAGTCATTAAGTCTAACCTCAGTAAATAGTAATCAATAAGAATAAACAGAAGAGTATGCCACAAAGTAAAAAAAAAAAATGGAGGGTTGAATTGTTCTAGAAAAATACAAGTGAAAAGAGCAACATGGAAAAACAACTCTGATCTGAGCTACCTAGATAATTTTTTAATTTTTTAATTAACCTCGTTTAGCACCTTTCATCTCTATCCATGTGTAGTTTTAAATTACTGATTGCAGAATATTACTAGAAATACTGCAGAGCTGATGATCCAGAGACATTTTATCACCATGAAATCCTGTTTCCAAGGAAAACATGCACATATTCTATATACTCACTGGAGATGTTGATACCTGGGTTATTCTTAACTGGTTTTCCAAATCTTGTACTTTGTTTTTAAGTTCCATATTTTCTGTCTCTAAGTCTTGAATCTAAAAAGCAAATGATTATTGAATAACCTTCAGAAATTTATTCCTGGAAAATATCAGCTATTATAACGACTGCATTAATGAGTGGGATTTCATATTATTTAAAATTTTAATGTATTATGTTCTATTATTGGATAAAGCTTGAGAAGTACATAATGCTAGGTCGCTGGGCAGACATACTAAATTAAAAATGCTTTTACATGTGTGTAAAATTCATGTTCTTAATACCTCATCTCTGTGTTTTCTTGTTGCACTGTGCAATCTGTACCCATAATCTTGGAGTATAACCGCAAGGCAGTGAAACTTGCTTATGATGATTTTGAAGAGAATGGAGAAAGGGTGTAATTTAATTACAAAGGAATCTGATCTGCATGGGAAACCACTTACCCAGCATCTGCTGCTTCTGCTGCTCTGATCCCCATGAGAAGCATCAGGAAGTGAAGCAAAGTCACATGAGAACACTAAGTTCTTGTGGGAATTCAATATAAAATGGTTAAAAACTGTGCAGGGGATCAGGAATGAAAACTTATAGGAACACAGTGAAAGCAGTTCCAGTCAGTGTGGGGGAAATTGAATGGCAGGCCTTCGAAATCTGTTTGATGATATGCAAGTTTCCCTGCGCTTATATCACAAGTGTGTGAAGCAACAGGCTTAGCTTACTCACTCTTTTCTGTAACCCTGCAATCTGTTTTCTTGTTTCAACATCTTTTCCTCCAGATTCTAGAAATTTCCTGTATGCCAGGTTGAATGCTTGGCCAATTGTTAAAGTTATCTCTTCAGCCTTTGTAAAAACAAAACAGAGATTTGCATTTTAATAATAATAATGTGTCCAACTGTTCTTTGAATCAAGAAAAACATTCATATCAGGTACTTCTAAAGGGCAAGTGCTGGGGATAGAGGTATGGTCAATGAGTCAAGTCCTCCCTGCTAACATAATAATTCAATGCCTACGCACGCACAGTATTAAAAACAATGTTTTGGCCCCTGGCCTGCGTGGCTCAGCGGTTGAGTGTCGACCTAGGATCCAGGAGATCGGGGTTCGATTCCCGGTCAGGGCACATGCCCTGGTTGCGGGCTTGATCCCCAGTCGGGGGTGTGCAGGAGGCAGCCGATCAATGACTCTCATCATTGATGTTTCTCTCTCTCTCTCCCTCTCCCTTCCTCTCTCTTAAATTAATACATTTTAAAAAATGTGCTGGCAATTAAATGAATAGCTGTTGAAGCTGGAAGCAAGAGCCCTGTCCCTCCTGTCATCGCCTGTATCACTCCCTTTTGCCCTAGTTTGTTTTCTCCTCAACTACCTGTGCCTGTCACAGGCAAGCGCAGCGCCCCTGCAGCTCCCCTCGCTGCGCGGCTGGGCCGGGCGCCTGGGCGGTGCTGCGGGAAACCTGGGGCGCGCCCGACATGGGGCCAGTGGCACGCAGACCCAACTAACTGCTGATGCGTGGAAAGGCGCAATTCCAACCCAGAGCTGTCAAGTTTTAAATATGCAAGATGAGGTCAGAAATCTGAATCTTTATATGAAAGCTCCCAATTTTAAGTAATAGTAAATAGTATTTTTGTAAAACACGGTGCCAACTGAACTGTATCTATCATCTGGTTTGGACGGGTAAACGATTTACAGTCTCTAGTCTATCAACTAGAAACTGCTACAAATATCCTAACTCCATCCCCTCATTCTTTCTCCATTCATATCTCAATGAATAGAAAGTGTCTTGCACAATGTAAGCACTAAAGATCTATTTATTTTATTAACATGAAGTTTGGTAAAGGCATGAATTCAATGCATTACAAATATGTCATATTCAATTCTAAGACCTCCAGATGACATAAAAACTGTTAGTAAGATTAAATCTCAAGAGTGGCATATTTTCAACTCATCTACTGCAAATCCTAAAACTTTCTGTATCTTGACTGTATTTTTAAAATATATATATTTATATATTTTATATAAATATATTTATATATTAATATATATATTTTATATTTTTATTGATTTCAGAGGGAGGAAGGGAGAGGGGGAGAGAGAGAGAGAGAAACATCAATGATGAGAGAGTCACTGATCGGCTGCCTAGCCCGCAACCCGGACATCTGCCCTGACCGGGAATCAAACTGCGATCTCCTGGATCCCAGGTCGATGCTCAAGTGCTGAACCACGCCCAGCCGGGCTAGGTTTACTGNATCAAACTGCGATCTCCTGGATCCCAGGTCGATGCTCAAGTGCTGAACCACACCCGGCCGGGCTAGGTTTACTATATTAACAACAATATTAACTGGTTAAGATTTGTGCTGTTTCCTATAGTATGTTACCATTGGAGGAAAGTGCATAAAGTGTATACAGGATCTCTCTGTATTATTTCTTACAACTCTATGTAAATCTAAAAGTATCTCAAAGTATAAAAATTACTTAAAAAAACAACAACAACCAACGTGGGAAATAAATTATGGCCTATTTGGCACAACTCTTTCATCATATTTTAAGTAAATCCAGGCCAGAGAGATTCAGTGTCTTTGCTATAATCATATCATTTTTCTTCTTCAGACTGTAAATACAGTTGATTACACTGTTGGATATTTGAATGTTGAACAACACTTGCACCTAACTGGAGCAAATTCTACTTGGTCTTGGTGTATAATTCTTTTTATATTTTGCTGAATTACATTTGTTAATAATTTGTTTGGAATCATTGCATATACAACTCTAAGAAATACAGGCTAGTTTTCTTTTCCCCCCTATGTCCAGCTATCCTACTAGGGAAATACTAGTTTCACAAAATGAATTGAAAATTTTTTAAATAGGTTGTGTAGAATGTTAATTCTTCTTTAAGTATTTTATAGATTCCTCCAGTGAAACCATCTGGGCTTGGAAATTTCTCTGTTAATAAATATTAAATTATAAATTCAATTTCTTTTATCATTATGGAGCTATTCAAATTATATATTTAATATGTATAAGGCTAATCTTCATAATGATCTCTGATCATGAATATTTCAAAGGTCCCCAAGGAAGTTTACTTCCATGTGTAAGGTAAGGAAGACAACTAAGCTTACTGCTTGGTGTAGGTGGTAAAAGGTTATTGTGTCTTACACATAGAAGGTGTCTACTTTAATCTTCTCAATCACTGGAGAAAAACATCTGCAAACAATCATGGTTAAGAAGCACTTGGAACATTATAGATAATGTATTCATTCAACAGGATAAATTTCAAGAACAACGTGAACTTAATATAAAATTCCTTATTGTGCACACAGTATTTCTCACATGGGTGAGCATATTTTTCCGATGAGGTGTTCCATAATGTTCATCTAATTCTCCAAAGATATTCATTGAGTATCTATTGTCTACCTGCTGTGGGAGTTACACGGACAAATAAAAATATATTTGTTTTCAAGAAGCTCACATGATGAAAACAGAGAAGTAAACTGCATAATAGTAATAATATTAGTCCTCTGACATTTTTGACAGAATGAAAAATGAGCAAATAAATGAATTAAGCTCTTTTCCTGTCTAAGCCAAGAATGCTATTGAGGTTAAACGTTATTCCTTCAGTAAAGCCATAACTGCAATGTGTGCTTGGAATTCACATCTTATGTTTTATTAGAGGACCTCAGACTAGATTATGATTAGCATTAGTTTCTGCTTATAATCAAGACATAGGGTTTCCCTTAAGATTCCAGAAGATTAAAGAACTGTTGCAGAACTTAATTTTAGAATTCCCTGATTGTTCTTACTTGCTAAGAACTTTAGATTACATGCATAAGCTAACACACACGCACACATGCAGGCACACACATGTGCGCATACGATTCTATTACCTATAATACGATTCATTATATTAAGTGTTCTGAATAATGAAAATTAAGATCTATATTTTCAAAGTATTGGATATTTTTAAAGAAGCCATACAGATTGTATTCCCTGGATTTAAAATATTTATTTTCATCAGACCCATTACATTCCAGAAAAAAAATACTCTGCTGACCATTACTCTTTGCACTATACGTATATTACTAAATCATATTTGAGATTAAAATTACAAAAAAATTATATAATTACAAGATAAATGAATGCATTAACATAAGCAGGCATGGCGTTCTAAGAAAAGAAATTTGCATGCAAGCTTGTGCTCCTGACATGAGAATTTAGTTAAGGATGAAATCCTGAAGCATATTCTCATGACAGGATGGATCTATTAGTGAGTTTAAGTATTCACAGGCTTTATTCATTTCCAAATACTTTACTAATGCCGGAAACAAGACAATTCCTGGATTGTAAAACAGAACAAACCACCCCAAAACATCTGGCATACTTACACACTTTTCACTGTCAAATACATAGCACAAATGTTTATTTGACTCAGAATCTTTGCATATGAAAGTGAATATCCTCTTGTCGGTTTTATCATCTGCACAAAATGATATTCTATGAAGCTGGCAATTGTGTTGGACTTCCTGTGAACACACAGAAATAAACAGTTGAAGAGATTTTATTCCATTTTCCGAAATACCAGCTTGTGTTAGTAACATACAACTTATGCCTTTAAAAGTGAAGCAATCATCTGTCAAACTTTGGTTTTATAATTACATATACCCCAAACTTAAACAAATATGTAATGGAGATAGACCTCCTGACTCAGGATTAAACTAAGACAGTCATTTCAATGGAACTTAGGAAAATACAATCAAAATACCAGAGGATCAGAGGTTCGTCAGCTTTCGGAGCTTGCTGAGATTTGATCACTCTGTTTACATTACCATTCATCAGACTGAAAATGAGTACATAAATGAGATATACAAATAAATGTGAGGAGAATTTGTCTATAATAGCGCATTCTTTCCCTGCATACAAACCAAATTGTAAAGTCATCAAAGCGTTACTTGGCAAGCATGAAAATTAAAATGAGGGAGTATATTGTGTGATTGTAATGTTTTCTGTCATTACTAGATAGCCTGATCCATCTGTGTCAACAGCAGGGAGGAACAGCGCTAAACAGAAGGGACCAACTTACTGAAGTTTTTCATGAGGGCATCTTCCCTTTCTTGTGGTTAGGGCCGAGATGGACAATGACCACATCTGTCTGAGACTTTCCTTTTCCTATACTTTGTCTGACCAACCAGACTCTTCTAATTGACAGTTTTTTGTTTTAATGTTAATGCATTAATGTCAATCAAACAATAGTCTTCAGTTGCCCTATAAGTTGTGAAATACTGATAGAAGGTCTATGCCAGTTTATTAATTGTATAATCATGTTAATGATACACAAAGAGGAAATATCTTTGCTATACAATATAGAAAAAGTAATTCATTTTTCCATTTATAGAAAAAAATAAGTAATATGAGAACACACCATTCACCTGGTGGTGAAACCTATGTAGTTCCTCACTCACTCACCAACCAGTATGATCACAGAAAGCCTTGTTACAAAAGTTGGGAATCATCTGCCTTTTTGTTTAGATTAACAGAGGTATCTTCCTACAAAAGAAGACCAGAAAGCTGAAAACTATAATTTTATTACTTGTGTGAGATTTTTGTTTTGTTGTTGTGGTGACAGACCTCTATGAGCTTTAAATGCAGTACTCATGTTTGGTGAGACAGGAATACAATGAAACAGTGAGAACACAATTAGCCTTTAACATGGATGACATTTTATTGGAATTGGAACAAAACTAAGTAAAGTTCCAATTCACCTATGACACCTGCTTCCAATACTGCATAATCTTCATTTGCAGGACAAGTGAGAAAAGCAGAAAGGGAAATGGCACAGAAGGAAAGGTAATGGAGCCAATTTAAATTGCTTTTCATTTCCATTTTCATCCACCCAAATGGGATAGAAAAATAGTCTATTTCCTATCAAGTCCAGTTAGAATAATAATGAATTTTTAAATTCTGCCTCATATATGATTTACTATAAATAAATTTATTTTAGGGGCTCCATACTTAATTGTTGCCCCCCCCCCCAAGTTATAACTTATATAGCAAATAAAATGATTTTTTTCTGGTTACTTATGTCTCCTCAGTGATTCCTAAATGCATATCTGTGAACAGGCTATATTGAAGTCACCTGGGGAGATTTGTTGGTTTGTTTGATAATATAGATGCTGTCTTATTCTGTGGATTCTGACGCTGGAAGGCCTGGGTGGACTCCAGCAATTCGTTTTCTCAAGAGTCTCCTAGGAGTACTGATGCTCAGCAGAGCTGGAAAATCCCTGTTTTAGATTACCTACATCTTTTATGAATTCAAAAAATGACACATTCTATATATGGGTATAGAGTCCGTCACTCTTTATTCATACGTAATATAACTGAATTTATAAGACATTGTGTAGACTTTAAAACTCCAGATCACTCTTCAAGTGTGTAGGGATAAACCTAGAGATGGTCTTTCCTATTAAAAGCTTGGAAAACTTACTTTTGGAGAAAATTCAATTGGGCCTCTTGAAAATGAGCTCCTAAAGTATAGGAAATTGAGACTTTGTGACGCTGAAGAAAAGCACTGGTGTTACTGAGTTGGGTAAGGTAAAATATGACGGTCAAAAGTCAGTTGGCTAATTGCTTTGAACTGAATCCCACCCTCGCTGATGTTTTATAAACATCAGAGCTGAGGGAGGCACGGAGATTTGACCTGGGAGTTTAGGGAACAGAATGATATGGTTGACCGGCTGTCGATCGAGGTTTGTTATTCTGGGAGACTTACTATGGGGGACGCTGGAATCACCAGCTGGTAACATTGTGCTACATTTGCATTCACATGATCCATCTCTATGTCTTCTCACCACTACTCTTTGCATTGCATGCATATTACTAAATCATATTTAAGATTAAAATTACAAATAAATTAAATGATTACAAGAGAAATAAATGCACACACTATATTAGTGTTAGTGATCTCATAGTATCTTTAAGTCTATGTTTTGTGCTCTTCTAAGGATATGCCATTAATTAAACTGTCAATTCTAAACACTAAAGAAATTCTCTATATACTGCACTTAATCGTATTTGTATTTTCTAAATGCTTATCAATTAATAAAAAACTTGAAGCATTCTAAATGTTTAGTAATAGGAAAAGAGTTAAGTAGATTATAGTGTAGAGATTATGGTATTGGTGAAATTTTTATAGCTTAGAATACACTATGGGCAGACTTAAATAAAAAAGAACAAACATGTAAATGACACATTAAGTGTATTATGAGCCCTTCATATTCTAAGGTGTGCTTTGACAAGTCCTAAACACTCATGTAAGAAATTGAATCAATAAATAATCATGCACACATACACTCCACAACAGTTACAGGACCTGTATGGTTTTAGAGAAACTTTTTAACATGATCTGTTCTGGCTGGACATTTGCAACTATATACCCATTTAATTTCACAAAGGAAATACATGACCAGGATTATTTTTTTTTTAATTGCATTTAAGACTATGCTTTGGGCCCGGCCAGGCGTGGCTCAGCCGCTGAGCGTTGACCTGGGATCCAGGCAATCGGGGTTCGATTCCCGGTCAGGGCACGTGCCCGGGTTGTGGGCTCGATCAATGACTCTCTCATCATTGATGTTTCTATCTCTCTCTCTCCCTCTCCTTTCCTCTCTCTGAAATCAATAAAGATATATTTTTTTTAAAAAAAGACTATGCCTTGGTTGCTGCACTTTTCATGGCATTGTCACTCTGTAACTTATTGCTTCCTCAACCTATTGTAGCTACCATTTGCCGAATGAATTCATCTCAGCCAACCCACCTTCTCAGTAGACATTGCCTCATTTTTAACTGCCTTGTTTCCCAGCAAACTGTATATATCTATCCCAGTATATGCTTGAGTAGACTTTCCACTCTCTTTTCACCACTTCTTTGTCTGCTTTCAGCTACCTCAGCAATATCTATCAGGGAATATCCATAACCAAAGAAAAGTCTCCAACTCTTCGTTATTTCATATTGAGTGTGGATAATAGGAGGAAATTAGACAGGATAGTTGTGGGAGGTCTTAAATTCATGGTTTGAAAATCTGAAGGAATGCCATTGTTCTTCAATTTGGAATTGAACAATAACCGCGGGTGTAACCATGCCATATTCCAGTCATCCAAAAACATATTTTTTAAAGCAACATTTCCAAGGAGACTCTGATTCTGTAGGCTAAGATGAGGCCTTAACTTATTTTTGCAACTGGATCAGGTATTTTTAATGCAATATTCCATGGACTATAGCTGAGAAATGTGGGCTACTGCACGTAGCCTGCAGACTATGCCCTACACCAGAACCCTGCGAACTTCAGTGTGCGCAGGAATCACTATGCTTCTTCTTAGACTGCAGATTCAGATTCAGTAGGTCTGGAATAAGGGCTGAGATTCTACATTTCTAACAAGCTCCCAGATGACGCTGGTCCACGGACCTCACTTTGAATGCAAGACATTGTCAGGGGGTGTAGTATGCACATAGATGAAGGTACCAATGGCAAATACTGAACTAGTGAAAAGTTGCAGACCTGTGAAAAATTTCCTTGGACTTTCAAAGTGAATTTATTTGTCAGTGAGCAAGCTACAGTGTTAGAGGAAAGCACTGGCAATATGTATTTGTAAAATAATTGGAGCTGAATGTTAATTTTTCCAAAGTGATGTTCATGGTCTTATTAAAATTACTGAACAATAATTCTGAAGCACTGTGAATAAAGTGCTGTATTAGTTTGCGAGTGCTGCCAAAATACCACTGACTTGGTGGCCTAAATAACAGAAATTAACTTTCTCACAATTCTGGAGGTTAGAAGTCCAATATTAAGATATCAGCACGTTTGATTTCTGCTGCAGCCTCTCTCAGCTTGACTTGCAGACAGCCACGTCCTGGCTGTGTCCTTACAAGGAGTTTCGACAGTGCTCACATATCCCTCCTCTCCCTCTTCTTATGACACCAGTCACATTGGATTAGGGCCCTGGTAAGACCTCATTTAACCTTAATTACTTTAAAGGCCCTATCTCCAAAGACAGTCACATTGGGTGTTAGGGCTTCCACCTAGGAACTTGGGGTAGAAACAGTTCAGTCTATAACAAGCACATATTAATGAATGCAAAGACACAGTAGGTTTTGCTCATATGTGGGATGTAAAACTGAAACTCATAGACACAGAAAACAGTACAGTGGTTACCAGAGGGAAGGGAGGTGGGGGATATTTAAGGGTAAAGGGGGCTAACCATATGGTGACAGAAAATGATATGACTTTGGGTGGTGGGCACACAATGCAATATACAGATCATGTATCATAGAAATGTAGGCTTCAAGTCTATATTATCCTACTCACCAATGTCACCCCAATAAATTTATTTTAAAAATACGTGGGGGGAAAAGAAAGCAGTATGTTTAACCAAAAATGAAAAGAAAAATTACTTTTCATTGGATTTGTAGGGGAAAAGGCTCTTAAATACAAGAACTTAAGTTTATGTGTTAAGTTGGATTGTGTTCCCCCCCAAATTCCTTTTAAAACCTTAAGCCCTCTCATACGTCAAAATATGACTGTCTTTGGAGATAAAACTTGAAAGAGGTGATTAAGTTAAAATGAGGCCATGAGGGTGGTTCCTTCCAATCTGACTGGTGTCCTCATAAGAAAGGAAAATTGGATACACAAAGAGACGCTGCGGATGTGCGTGCGCAGAGGCAAACAAGAGGGCAGCCATCTATAGGCCAAGGGGAGCTGCCTCGGAGGAAGCCACTTCAGCCTCCAGAACAGCAAGAAAATAAATTTCTGTTCTTTGAGACATCAGGTCTGTGGTACATTATTATGGCAGCCCTGGTAAAATAATACACACTGATTACGTCTACAGGCATTAAGTCAGTCCAGCACATTTTAAGAAACAACACACAACTTTTGTCTTCTTTCAAACTATACTTTATGCATCTCTTTCACAGCACACAGGGAAAAATTCCTAAATACAAGACTAAATACTGTTAAATGCACTTAATATAAATATAACATCCCAATCACAGGCTGAAAAACGACCACTCAGAAAGCAATCCCAAAAGTTCTTTTTCCCCATAAAAATCCTATAGAGTTTTAAATGGTCATTAACTGAAAACTAAAGTTTCTAATTGGTAACAAATTTTATGTATTTATTAAAATAGGATATTTACAATTAAAGAATGGAGTGTTTCTGACATTAAAAAATAAGCCTTACCTTTGTTTTGGGTTCTAGAATTTTTACTCCATAAATTGATATTTGCAACTCAACTTTAGGAATTTTCTGGCCTTCAGACTTCTTGATGTGTCTTGCAAACTACAAATGAAAAATTATCCACAAAATTATAACTGTTTCTATGAAGAATGAAAACAAATATATGTATATATAAGGAGTTTATGTTGTGTTGAACTTTCATTAAATTTTTGCCCATTATAAAGTGTTTTATAAACCCCACATAACCTCAAAATATTTAGAAATCATAGTATTATCTATCATCACTATCATTAAAATCAGATTGATTTCCAGTAACTTTTAAAAATATTTTTAATGTATTTCTTTCATATTTAAAACATTGTATTCATACCAGTTGAGAAAATGAAAACTCTTTGTGGGAAGATAAGCAGAGGTCAATTTTTTTTCCTGTGGGTCTTTTGCTTTTAATAGCTGTAGAGAACTTGCATCCACCAGTGCTGGGTATGCCACTTTTGCCCTTTCTAGACACCTCCTTTGGTATAGCATCCTACCCAACCAAATCAATGAACAAAATGGAACAGATTACCACATTCAAAGTCAAGCTAAGAACTGAAGTAATTATCCCAACTAAAATACAGTATTCAGAACTAGACAACTAGGCTAAGTCTAGAATTATAAATATAGCAAGCTTTTAAAAATAAACCTTTTAAGATGCTTTCATAGTAGTATTTATTGTATTTTCTTATTGAATTAGTAAGTGTATATAAATGCTTGTAGGTTCTGTAACAAAGTCAAAAAGAAAATCAGAATAGTCATGTACTTAGTATACAGGATTTCTGCCTCTGCTAACACTGCCAGACTTAGTGCCAGAAAGAAATTACAGAAGCCCGGTTAAATTTGGATACTAAACAATATTAATTTAAAAGAAATTTATTTTAGAATATACATATACACTCTATATATGTTTATACACATATAACATATATATGCTATTTAGTATAGGTATGCCCCTTACAATATTTGGGGCATACTTATAGTAAAAAACATTATTCATTGTTTAATTGAAATTTAAAGGGTATTGACTGTCCTGATTTGTCTAGCAATGCTACTCTCTCCCTGTGTTCCTTCTTTCTNATTTTAGAATATACATATACACTCTATATATGTTTATACACATATAACATATATATGCTATTTAGTATAGGTATGCCCCTTACAATATTTGGGGCATACTTATAGTAAAAAACATTATTCATTGTTTAATTGAAATTTAAAGGGTATTGACTGTCCTGATTTGTCTAGCAATGCTACTCTTTCCCTGTGTTCCTTCTTTCTTCCCTCCCCCATCTTTCTTTTAAAGAAATGAAAACAAGAAGAAAAAAAAATTATTGAAAAGAATCAGATCTCTTACCCCTCTTTACCATCTTTTCAGCATATGGATCGTCCTAACCTGACTCAAATAGAGTACACATGAGGCAGGGTAGGGTTTCAGTTCTCTTTTGTGTGTCATATTTATTTTCATTGTGCATTTGTCTCTAATTCAGGACAGATGTGAATACACATGGTACATAGTTCAATCCCAGAGCAGAGAGTGGTTAAAGGCCTTTTTCTCTTTTCGTGGCCTTGCACTGCTACGGAGGGTAATATAATTAATGCATATACAAATGCCTTGAAGTGTCTGCCTTGATATGGGAGGAGGGGGGCTATTTGTTTTATTTCACTTTGGGTGGTATACATTTTCAGCTTGCTGTCTGTCCTGTTCTATGAATGCAGGCAGCTTTCTTTTTTCTTTTTTGCAACAAGCATTCTTACATTCTGCACATGAATTCGACTAATTTGTGCCAGGAAAATTATTTTTGTCTTGAAGAAATTTGTTCTGCTTTAGTGAAAATCGTTAAAAATTATCCCAGCTCTCACCCAAAGAAAGGGGATTAGTTTTGTTTGTTTTGCCCTCCATAATCTCCTTCCTGCATTGGCATAATTAAAAGCGTCTGGGGATGCTCACATAGGAAGGCTTACAAAATAAATGCGCCCACGTGGCCGCATCTGAACACAGCCCCTCGGTGGCGGCTACAGGAGGGTCCCAGGGCTTCCTAGGGGCTGTTCCTTCCAGAAACAGACAGTGAGCGAGGCTCCCGAGACCCTCTGCACAGCTGGACACAGCCACCCCGGGACCTCTTTTCATTTCCCAAAAGCCTAACACAAAGCAACCACTAACATTAAACTTATCTGTTGACATATTTCTTTTCTGCCAGGAAAAAAGAAAAGAAAGGAAAAAATGAAGAAAGGAAGTAGGGGCGGGAGGTAGAAAACAACAAAAGGGGAGGGACAGATGGGGAAACAGAGAATGAGATAAAGAAAAATAAACATAAAATATCTGATCTAAGGCTTGTGAAGGCTTTCCTCTGCTTCATATCAAAATAAGTAATTGTGTTCAAAGATTCATAGGTCACCAATCAAATACCTCGGTCCTAACATGAGTCTGTAGCAATCAGGTCTAGAGCCCAGTTCTGCAGCTACCCACCACTAAATAACTCTTTTCTTTTGCACAACAGATTCTCTGCATTTAAAAAAATAAACTTCTCCGTTCTATTTTCATGTATACCAAGGTTTATACGGGGGTTTGGCCTTGCCTGTTGCACAGATGATGCAAGACATTTATGCCCAAGGTTATAATCACAGCTCAATCTATATGTTAAATCAGAGTACAGTATTACTGTTCAACCCTTTTTTTTCCTGAATTTTTAGAATACTGTATTCTACAGTGTACATGGAATGCCTACTTCTAAATCTGTTTTCCTACTTACAGACCTCCTGTGTTCCGAAACACGAGTGGGGACTTACATGTGGAAGGCATGCTCGTGATTCTTACTTACATAGCCTTTCTCTCCCTATTTACTACCTGAATGTTAATGTTTGAAGAGCCTTTTTGCAAGTTTCTTTCCATTTTAGCTTCAATGGATTGATTTCTTGGCCATCCAGTAGTGATCTACCATTAAAACTTGCATCTAACAAGGATATCTGGATACAATAAACGCACAAAAACAAGCCTTCATCACCATAAACTACTGGGGAAGGATGAAGTATTACTTGAAATACATACAGTACTCAGTTAAATATATGTCTCCTGCTTATATATATGTAAGCGGGAGAGCTAAAGAAAGCTTAAAGGTTTTCAATGTCATCATCATGTACTTTCTATTCCTTTCTCACAGGACTTGACAAAAAATGAAATCTAACTTTATTACCAATGAAATGAATATTATTAGGCAAGAAAATTAATAAATGTATTACTTTAGGCTGAATACTCTGAGCTACTATTCTTGTTTGTGGCCCTTATATCTGTTAATTTATTTTAAACTATTCTGAATAATCCAACAGGGAAATCAGCTATGTATGTATGCTTTCAATTAAATTAAGCTCTATTCACTTTATAAATTAAATAACTGGTTATGATGACAAAAGCAGAGTGTCATGTCATGGGGATGTAATATGCAGCATGACTGTGTTAACAATATTGTTTTGCATATTAGAAAGCTGCTAAGGGTAGATCTAAAAGTCCTCATCACAAGAAAAAAATGTAACTATGTATGGTGATGGATGTTAACTAGACTTATTGTGATCATAAAAGCAAAAACAGAAACAAAACAATGTGTCATGTTACACAGAGAGAGTGAAGCTGAGTGAAAGAACTGCTGGACCTAGAGTCAACAGAACTCGAGGGTGATTCCCGAGGCCACGTTCCTTGCTTACAGTACATATTGAGTCCTCTAAAATTGATACTAGTTGCATTAATAAAAATAAGTAAATACTATTAAGAATTTAATTCATATAATAACACCAATATTAAATAGAAGTTGAAAGGTTTAATTTTAATCATTACATTTTGGAAAATTTGGTATTTTCTTAAATATAAGCCTAAAATATAATCAAGAAATATAAAATATGTAGTTTTGACAACTACAGATTCTTAAAGTAAAAACTTCAACAATTATAAAAATTACTATATTTAAGAAAAATTTATAAACTATAAATTCTCCACAAAATAACAGAAAAATAGCATGTAATGAAATAAATCAGTTTTAAAGATCTTTCTTTTAAAGTTATCAGGCATAATTAAACATAGTAGCACGAAAAACTAATTACTGAACATCTTTTAAGTTTTCCATCATATTGCATTAATCCTAAATTTTGAATTCTTCTTTAAGTCAGACGCCAATAAAATAATATTGCAAACTTTTGAAAACTGGTAAATATAAATAAAATGTTACCTTACCTAGCAAATAAAATAAAATACTACACTATAGTGAATAAAAAAGTAGTCAGAATACATATGTTAAAGAAAAATACACAGGAAATTAAAATGAGGGATGTGCACACCAAGTACAGTTAATGAGCAAATTTCTTTATTTTTAAGTGGAGCCATAGCACCATCTCCTGGCCAATTCAACGTGGCAAGAGAATTTAAAAGGAGCCAGGGTCTAAATTTTTCTTTGAAAATGTAAATACTCTTTCTTATACACTTTGAGTTGTAGCTCTGACAAACACAAAGGAATAAATTAAAAACTACATTAAAAACAGTTTTATTCATTTTCATTGGTTCCTGAATCATTACCCTCAGATATATTTTCCTGATCTACAAAATTTTTGCAACCAGCAAAGTAAAGATCGCTTATTACATATATACTTGTTGTGGAAGGTACTTGAAAGATAAAGCTACTATTAACTGACAGTGCATTTATAAACTACACCATGTAATTTTTATCTTATTGCAAATCTCATTCCTTTTTTAACAGAGTACACTTCCACATGTAAAACTACATAGGAACTGCATATAAAGTCCCACAAAAATACAGCAGGAGGTGAAATAAGCTTACAGTTGTGAGCATGCAAAAGAGAGTTCTTTCTTGAATTATTATAGATTATTATTTTCCATAATAACAACTGTAAACCTACTTTTGCCCCACACTGTATATAAAAACTAGCTTTGTTTCTAAAGCATTTTGTTTCAAATATCTCTTTACATTTTCTCTACCCATTGTGTCATTGCACCCTTTGGTTTGGGATTTGGGTTTGCTGAATAAAGAACCTCCTAGATATAAAGAAACATTAAGTGTAAATACCATTCTTCTTTTATAAAACATTCTCATTGAAGCGAAGTTGGACTCAAGAAAAAAACATATGTAGCTGTGCATGGTGATGGGCGTTAAAGAGACTGTGAGACATTCTGACCACTGAAGCAGAATCTTATTCTAAATGTTGTCCATAAACTGTGAGGCTTTTAAAAACCTCCAGTAGTGTTTAAAAGTATTGGCCAAAGAATGGCATGTCTGTATCATTACCAAATTAGTGGAAAGAAATGGTTGGCTAGCTTTTTTCCCAAATGGAAGTGATGTCATTTTGGGACCTTACAGAATATTTACTTAAAACATTAGATAAAATACCTGCACATAAAATAAATAAATAAAAATATTACTTTTTCATTCAGAATACAAGCCATCCCATTTTAATTTTCCCTCAATTTAAACTCTGAGAACCTGCTGATGGAACATTTTCAAAGCAGAGCAATGCTTTTTACTGTCCACAACTTTGCCTGGCACAATATGAGGCCTGACTCTCCTAAACTAAATGAAGTTAGAGAAGAGCTGTTTCTAAAAAACAAAACAAAACAAAAAAATTGTGAGAGTAGCTAGAGAGAATAACAACTGTGTAAGTAAAGTAAGTCCTTACTTAATGTCATCAGTGGGTTCTTGGAACAATGGTAAAATGATTTGTCATGAAATCAGTATTACCATAGGCTGGACGATATAAAACAATAGTTAAGTTCCTATGGCATCTCATCAATGTTTTAACAAAATGACACTGAATGAAAGGACGTTGTTTGGGGACCTGCTGTTGTAGTGGTATGTTAGACTTTCTTAATAAGATAAATATGAGAATTCTGATGGAAGCAACTAAGTGTCCATTGATGAATGAATAGATATGATGTGTGTATATATAGAGAGAGATAGGTAGATAGACATATACATATATATAGAAGATATATATATATATATATATATATATATATGAATATTATTCAGCCATAAAAAAAGGAAACCCGCCCATCTGAGACATGGATGGACCTTGAGGGCATTGTGCTAAGTGAAATAAGTCAGAAAAAGACTAATACCATATGCTCTCATATGCGGAATCTAAAAAAAAAAATAACTCCTAGTACAGACAACAGATTGGTGGCTGACAGAGGCAGGGGGTGGGTCATGAACAAAATGGGTAAAGGCACTGAAAAGGTACAAACTTCCAGGAATGAAATAAATAAGTCCTGGGATATAATGTATAACACAGTGACCACAGTTAATAATATTGTATTGTATATTTGGAAGTTGCTAAGACAGTAGAAAAAGTTTTCATCACAAGAAAAAAATTCTAACTGTGTGGTGATGGATGTTAAGTAGGCTTACTGTGGTGATCATTTCACATTATATACAAATATCTAATTATTATATTATGTACCTGAAACTAATGTAATGTTACATGTTAGTTATACCTAAAAAAAAAAAAAAAAGATGAGAATTCTGTTGGAGTTTTTAAAAATCTTAAAACCTCAGTGAAAACAATGTATTTTAGGATGGGATACAATTAGAAAAAACATGCTAAGATATGCGACATCTTACATGAGATTTTCTCAGGAAATCTGCTAATTATGAATGTGTGAAGTTGCTTATTAAATGTCCTTTTGTGCTCTTAGTCTCAACAGTTCCCCATGTCTTCTCATGGACATGACAGATCCTCTTGATTTGTCATTAGGACATCTTCAACATACAATATCACTCCAAAATTCTGCTTTGAAATCAACTCTAACTTCACACATTCTTTTTTTAAAATTACTATACATAGAATTTATTGAGAAGTTACTGTGTACCAGGACTTTACAACATTTTATTTAATCTTTTAAAAAATTGTTCAATTACAGTTTATATTCAATATTATTCTATATTAGTTTCAGATGTAAAATATAGTGGCCCCCCCGTATTTCAAGTACCCACCTGGTCCCATACCTAGTTACTACGATATTACTGACTACACTCCCTATGCTGTGCTTTACATCCCTGTGACTACTAATTTGTCCTTCTTAATGTCTTCACCTTACTTTACACTTTCAGCTGGTGGGTCTGATATTCTAACTGAGAGACAGTTGTTACACCATCAGTGGTTTTTGAATCCACATTGTCCAAGCAATGTAAAGGCAAGCAACCAAATGTCAACACTTATAAAATGTTGCCATTACATTTTTTGTTATGTATGAGAAATTACACTTAGAAAAATATTAAGTGTGCCATATTGAAAAAAGTAATTAATTATGTGTACACACTTATTATTAAGTATTTTTCTTGATCTGGTGATATTTATTCAATAGCCCATTTTTAACAGGGTGAAGCCATACCTACCACAAAGTTATTCATGCTTTGAATGTCCATCAGTCTCTTGATGACTTAAGGCAGGATCAATATACTAGACATTTATTTGGAGGGCGTTCCCTACCTTTAGTTTTCTTACAGCATCTCTGACAACTTCTGTTCCTTTGGGCTGCTCCACTTCTGTACTGCCAAGAAACTGAAAATGGTCATTTGTCAGACACAGGCATTACTCCAGCACATGTCACTAAATAATTCTGAAATACAACATGGCATGATAGATGATGCATATTAATGCAAATCCAAATCCTAATTAAACAGAAAAGTTATTAATTTATATTATTTTAAATTATATGAAAATGTCAATACATTATTTAATCACATAAAATTCTTATTATTCAATTAATAAAACTCATCTACCTTTTAAAATACAAACTTTTAAAATACCCAGTATATACCATCCACCAAAGCTGTAAGCCAAACTACATTAAAAAAATAAAACACATAATCTACAATTTTACTGTATTTTCAAATATCCCTAAATGTTTTTTGTTAAAACTTGGATCTATTAAAAAAAAAAAAGTTTCACCTGGCTATGCATGGCTCAGTAGTTGAGCATCAAACTCAACCTATGATCCAGGAGATCGTGGTTCGATTCCTGGTTGGGGCACATGCCTGGGTTGTGGGCTCGATCCCTGGTGGGGGGGGAGGGGGCGTGCAGGAGGCAGCCGATCAATGACTCTCTCATCACTGATGTTTCTATCTTTCTCTCTCCCTCTCTCCTCCTCTCTCTAAAATCAATAAAGATATATTTTTTTAAAAGTTTCATAATAATTAATATATTGTAATAAAATCATCTATCCTGGAGATACCTAATATGTCCCAAACAAAAGTCCAATATCATAAAATGTTCAAGACCAATTAGAATTGTAATATGAGTATTTTCAATATTCTATAAAATATTTCTATATAAATAGCAAATACTCATTAAATTTATTAAGCGTATATAATTTCCCAAAGACTTGTTACATACTACTAACTATTAAAGTGAGTCATGAATTCATCACTTCTTTTATAAACAGATGTCTGTGTGTGTGTGTACACTTTACATCAAATGATTAAGTACAACCTTCGTCATGTATTAGCTCACAGAATGGAAGAAAACAGTAATGTCATACTACCTTTTAAATCATATTTATTCCTTTCTTCATTCTTAAAATATAACAATATTGTTAACATTCTTGTTAACAACAATAACAGCTAAAGAAATTAGACTCTCAGTTTTCAAAATGGGATCTCTGTATCACCTGCACGAGAATTAGCCAGGGAACAGGTAAAAATATAATAATGCAGATTTCTTGGTCAAATAAATCAGCATCTTTAAGGGTAGGGTTAGGGAATTATAGTTGTAAAAGCATCACAGGTGTTTCTTCATACTAAAGTCTAAGGAACAGAGTTAGAAAATATTAACAGGTCAGAAAGACAGTAAAAGGCAGATACAAAAGGTGAGCTGAAAATACAGGAGATAAGCATTAAGGGGGGGAAAATTGCTTCTCAAATTCTATAAGGTACAACAGTTTCTTTTCCTAATAAGCTCAAACTTTACAAACAATTGCTACCAGGGCCTAGACACAATATCATCAGGTCCTTTATTGCCCAACTGTAACCTCAAGTTTGTTGACCAGGCCTGCAAAAAGACCAAAATTAATGGAGAAATTCTCAGCTTAAAAGGAATTGAAAACCAGCTCCTAAGATGTGGGAGATAGCCAAATCTATTCCCTGCATTAATGTACCTGTCACATTTCTTCTGTTTCAGATCAGTGTATTAAACCTTGACTGCTATATGATAGAATCACATGGGAACTTTAAACTTAGACCAGTGCCTAGGAGTCTAATTTAATTGGTCTGGGGCAGAGCCAGGGCATCTGTGTATTTTAAAGCTCCCCACGTGATTTTAATGTGCCATCAGATTGGAAAAGTACTGTTTTAGATCATCCAGAAAGGAAAAAGGGTTCAAGTGACAGGAAGAAAGTTAACACAATAGGGGCAATTTAGTTCTGAGTAAATTCATGGGGTAAACTCAACATCTTTGAACTTATCACTGAAAGATTCGCCATGAGTGGGTGGTCCAGTGCTAACAGAAACAGGGAGGCAAGGGTAGGTATTTTACTGGTGATTCTTCATTTAAAAGAAGGAAGCGTCTGATATAACAATAACAGACTGTAAGAGTGACTGGGAATATTTATGAAAAGAATATTCATACTTTGGCAGAAATGTCATAAGTATTATATGTAAATAGGCCCAGATGGGGAAATGGAAGAGCTCCAAGTACATTCTAAGTGAATCAACCTCTTGCTGAGCTCCAGGAACCTTTTAATATGTCTGTTTCACACCAGCTTTAATTAAAACATCTGAGTAATGAAACACAGGGAGAAGCCTTGAATGATGGTGAGAATTAAACTATAGAGATCTAATACAGAGCTTACTACTTAACTCATTTTTTCTATGTAATGTTAGATGACCTAAGTGGAAATAATTTTAAAACCGAAAAGTAGATTAATCCTTATAATATTTTCCATGCTTTTAAATAATAAAAGTCATCATGATACTTAGATTAAATAATTCATATTTATATGCACTGTGTGTCTATATAAAATATTTATAAAACTCTTAAACATGAAGCAGCATGCTGGAATAAACTCTAGGCTTAGAATCTGAAGATGTTAGAAAAGTCACTTAGCCTGGCCAGGCGTGGCTCAGCGGTTGAGCATCGACCTAGGATCCAGGCGATCAGGGTTCAATTCCCGGTCAGGGCACATGTCCGGGTTGCGGCCTCGATCCCCAATTGGGGGCGTGCAGGAGACAGCCGATCAATGACTCTCTCATCATTGATGTTTCTATCTCTCTCTCTCCCTCTCCTTTCCTCTCTGAAATCAATAAAGATATATTAAAAAATATATAAATTTTTTTTTAAAAAGTCATTTAATCTGCCTTATCTGACTCTTGAAAAATAAGAATAATATGCTCTTCTCTCCTTATAAAGGTTTTCTGAAGATCAATTACAGTAAGAGATGAGAGAAAAACAACCCTCTGTAAATTGCCAAGTGTTTTATAATTAGAGGGGTTGCCATTCCTTTATTTAATGATTTAGTGGACACTCTTGGTGCCTGCTCAGCAATTTGGACCCACTTTGTCAGCTCTGGGACCCATCCTCCCCATGCTTTCCTGGTAATAGCTCACACTCAAGATCTTCAGGAGTCCCTTGGGCAATGAGGTCACTTTGCCAGCACTGAGAGCTGGAAATGCCGGGAAGTTTCTGCCTCCCCCATATCACCACCTTCCTTAGCCAATGACTGGCGGGGAAGTACAGAGGACCCACCCCTTTTCCTGGAGCTGGGGTAAACTCTAAGGTGTAATGCAGAGCTTCCGATTCTTCCTTAATTTCTTCCCTATGTCTGTCCTGCTTTCCCAAGCCCTTAATGGTTGTTCCTGGGAGCACTCCCTTAGTAAAGCACTTAAACCCCAACCTTTGCCTCGGGGTTTAATTCTGGGAGGAAGCGGTGTAAGACACTGTTAAACACTTAAATGCTTACATTCAGGAACATATAATCTAGGATACAAACCCATAAATAACTGAAGAACTCTGTTATAAGTGTTATCATAGGCTTGTATATGGATTAGAGGTAGGATCTTGGTTTTCATCTTTTTTCACTCTTCCTGGTGCCTGGAGTGTGAAAGACAAGATGGAACTGAATCATGCCATGTCCAGGGGATTAATCTATCCCATCCCAAAGCAATTGTTAACTAGCTGGAGAAACAGGCCTGGGAGCTCTGGATTGCAAAATGCTAGGTCTGGCTGAGAGCAGAGGTAAGGCACTTCACTAAAACAAAGAAACTAAGTCAAGTTGGCATGTGAAACTGAAAGTCCACTAGGCCCTCTCCCAGTCTGGCTCCCAAGAGACTGGCTGCTAGTCTTATAAAGCTCCAGATAGGATTCTTCTCTAGGCAAAGGAGCCCAAAGGGGATGAGGGGGGAGACAACCTGTGCTGACCGTGGGGTTTCCATGTGAAATGGATGGGCCACCTGATCAGTCACCAGTTGACAAGCCCTGACCATGTACACAGAACTGGAACTGCCAGCTTTCCAGTGTCTTAACTGTCAAAGCACACCTAGTGTTTGCCTATATTTGAGGAAAGCCATTCACACAAAAAACAAAGAAACAGGAACAACAACAACAAAAACATAGGGAAGAATCAGCAAGAAAGCAGGGCCAAAAAAAGATGACTAAAATCTAAAGTCCATATAAAGCATTCAAGATTAAAACAGGATACTATATAAACAACATTCAGAGAGCAAAAGAGCTCACAGAAATGAAAAACATGATGTGGGCAAGTTAAAAAGCAAAAAGAATGTTAGGAGATAGAGTTGAGGAAATTCATCAAGAAGGAATTATTGGGTGCTTATCATTTATCAGGTACTATTTTAGGAGTTGGGGATACAGCAGGGAACAGAACAAAGTAAATTCCCTGTCCTTATTTACCTTACACCCTAGTGGAAGAAGCCAAACATAAGCAATATACTATAAATAAGTGACTTATATAGTATTTAAAAAGTGCTCTGGAGAGACAGCAGGGACGAGGGGTGGAGTATGTGCAAAGTATGTGAATGTGTCTGTGTGTTGTGCCATTTAAAACAGGACAGTCGGATGAGATCTCAGTAAGGTGATACGTAAACCAACGAGAAAGGCAGTGACCCATCTAGATATATCTGGGGGAAGAGAGGCCAGGCCAAGGAAAGAAAAAGTGCAAAAGCCAGATATTTAAAAAATTAAAAAACAAAACTACTAGAGAATCGGTCCAGAAAGTGTTTTTCAGAATTCTGCCCCTGGATTATCCAAGAAGTTGTCATAAATACAAATTCTACTGAATCAGAAAATCTGGGGTAGGTCCAGCAATCGGTTTTAATATTTCCTCTAGGTGCTTCTGATGCATGCATAAATGTGAAAGCCACTGTTCTGGGTGATTCAACATCAACCAGACAAGGAGCTCTAGAAACAGAGAACAGGAAAAACTGAAGGAAGAAAATTACCCAACACTTCTCCAGAAACAAAGGCATGAATGTTCAGACTAAAGAAATCAAGATTACACCATTGTAAGGAATGAAAACCCACATACAAAAACACAACACGTTGGGTTGGTT